GTTATGACTTACTTCTGAAGCAGGAAGGGTTAAAGGGTGCAGTAGGGGAGTCTGAAATGCTGCTTGGGGTCAGGTGTTGGAACTGTGATTCCTCAGTAACCGGATGTTCTCTGCTGTGCTTATTAAAACCTATTGTTGAATTTCAAACAAATGTTTTAGATTAGCTTAATGGTAATGCTCTAGGGAAAATGAATTTCCAGGATAATTTTTCAGGCACTGGACAAAATAAATGCTGGCCTACATTTTTAGAAAGGATGAGAGATTTCAAGTGCCCTCAATATTTAATACTTAAAATTAGATGTCATAGGAATGACATGGAGTAGTTACTTGATGAAAATATGGTTCATTTAAAGAGGATTAAATTGCACACAAAAAATTATCCCTTTAGAAAATTTAGATTGTTTTCAAAAAATTATAAAACCTTGTTTTATCTTCCAGTTTGCTCTTATTGTGTGACCATAAGTCCTTTTCTTATAGTCGGTCCTTTACTCTAAAATTTTAAATGCAGATAAGACTTTGGAAGACCAAGACTTCCTTAGGCTACGTCAGGCAGAATTAAAGGTCCCCATGGCATCTGGGAACACTGGGACATGTGCAAGGAGATACCAAGCAACTGCAGCTCAGCTCGTAGAGACTTGCTCTTATCTGGGGTTTAAGTTTCAAACATTAAAGGAACTGGGCTTAGACCAACCTGACAGAGGAGCATGGAAGTGAAATAGATTCTGGAGTGATGAAATTACTTTGGACAACTTAATGAAAAAAAATGCTCAGATCCCACTGAGCCATTAAATGATTGATTTCCACATGGAAGCACCCATCTCCTCTGACAAGCCTTTGACAAAACTGTTTCTTTATTTTCATGTGGAACAGTTCTTGACCAAAAGATTAAAAAGACTGAGGGGAGAAGGGGACAGAACAGGTTATGAGCCCAATAGACAGGAGAAAATCTGTTGAAAAAGAAAACTGAAGTACTTGTGCATTCATTAAACAGAAAGGTAGCATTTGCAGATGTTTAAATTGCTTAATACTCAGGCTAATTTGATGGTAAATGATTTGCAGAGAGCACAAATACTTCTAAATCTTCCAATATATAATTTAACATCTTATTTTGATGCTTATCTTTATGTCAAGTAAGTTTATAGCAAAACATCAAAACTAATTTCCTTGAGACCACCAGGTAACTCCCTTTTTGCTAATTTGGAGCTCCGAGGTTCTGTTAGGACTTGAAATGACAATGGTCAGCATCAGACTGCACATGGCTTCCCAAAGGGCTCTGAGTGAATCCATTGACGCAGACAAGCTACCGAAGCGATCATGGCTGAACACATGGGAGTCCTGCAAACCTTGGCATCCCTGATAGCTATTAACAGACAACTTTTGCTGTGCGCAAAAGCTGAATTTAAAATGTCAATGCTCTAAATGCCATGTTACCTTAATTATTTTTGGAGCTAAGCCTCCCCAGATACAGCCTTTTCTAAAATACTGAAAGACTACTTTATGGCCATAGTCATACTCCCTTCCTCTGCTGCTCTGTTTCATTCATGCCTTCTGAAGCCTACAATACTCTAAAATTTCTACAATGAGCTGTAGAGAAAAGTGACTTTTGTTTTCTTTAAATCCTTGGAGATTGCTATCTAAATCCTTTTCCCAGTTCTATCAGACTACATTAGTTCCCTCCAGACACATTGTCTAGCCCACCTCCAAGGTGCTCTGGTTATTGCTAAGATAAGCTAGTCCAGATCAGTACAGCCTGTTTTCTGAAGGCCAGCATTCAGAGCCAGCTCTTGATTGTGCTATTGGCAAAGACCAAGAGTCTGGCAAATTCTGCGTTTGCTCTAGGAAGCGAAGACCCCCTTGCTTCCCACGGAAACGCTTTGTAAGGGGTAAGACCAGTTCCTGTTAATGCTCTTCCCAGAGGGCAGAGCAGAGGAGGGGAGCGCAGCGCTGGCTCTACTTGCTGGGGAGAGCAGCAGAGCCAAGGCTGTGGCGGTGGGAGCTGGGAAATCCTTCCTAGTTTAAGCCAACAGTAACTTTTTGCCTGGGAGAGGACAAAATTGTGAAGATTTAACTCAGTGTTTTTAGAGCATCCACTGGTTAAGGTTGCAATACGAATGCAGAATGTCTAAAAACTGGACTAGGTATGCTTTAGGGCTAATTAAAATGAAACCCTAATTCAGGAAGCTCTCGGTCCACACATCCCAGGCTCTAGCTGGGTTTTGCCACACACTACCAAATTGTCTCCACTTCTGAAGTAATCGTGCCAAGAAAGGAAACAGCATAGTAGCACCCATTGTACAGGTCCACTGCTTTCATTCAGTTCCTGTGGATTCAATGGCAGAATTAATTGCAAAATAAAATGCATGGAATTGGTTTAATTAACAGTACATTTCAAGGTCCTGAAACACAGAATTAGCTGCGGGGTAAATGCACAATGCAGGCTTTTCCTGCGAACAGAACAAGTGCTATTTTGGGAGCTGTATCTGTGGCTCATCGAGGTGTGCCTTGCTTAAAAAGCTGCTAGGATAAGAAATGGGGCTTTGACAGGGGAAGACAAATACTATAATTAGGGCTGCATGACAACAAAAGGATTGTTCTTAAATATAAAATCATTTGAGTGAAATTGCTTGAAAGATAATTATACCTCAAATTGCTTGCATGGGGTCTAATATTTGCTTTACAAGGACTTCCAAGACTCATTGAATATTTATGGGCCTGGAACATAAAACGGGATGAAATTTAAAGCATAAATTCGATTGCAATTTATTGTGATGAAATTCCCTAGCAGTTGTTGCCCCAACCTTTTAGCCTTAATAGACAGGCTTCGTGTTGCAGAACACAAGCCCATGTGATAAATGATATCAAAGCTGAATCCCCTTGATTGATGAACGCTGCCTCGTTTGATGACTGCAGAACAGTCCTGAGGGCTGATCTCACCACTATTTTTGTTGGTTTCATTTTTTTAAAATTTTTTTTATTAATGCATATATTGCAGAAGGGTTGTTTGTGCTTCTGGTGGGGTTATCACATGCAAATGAGCATGCTGTTTCACAGATGCAGATTTCATATTTATAGGTTAAATACAGCCTGAAAAATCATATGTTAATTGTAGTCTGAGGGTGTAGCAGAATTTCTCACTTGAACATGTTTTATTTTGCTGGAAATAGCGCAAATTCCAGATCAATGTGTTTAATTCCTTGAAGCTTGGTAATAAATATATCACGCTTTAGAAAAAGCGTTCTAATCATTACTAATCATTTACCATTAGCTCAGTGCTTAGAGGTATAGCTGACTTCTAGCCCACATGATGTATTTGTTTATTTGTTTTTAATAATCTGTGTTTCTCAGAAAACAACTCATGCTACAGGGTTTGGGGGAGGGCTAATGATAAAAGCCAAAAAAGCAGATTATCAGAGCCAGACTGGCAGAGGAGATCTGTGAGAAGATGTTTTGAGAGCATCAGGACTCCCTGCAGTGGACTTGGTTAGCTATAAATAATCTTTTTTTTTCTGTTGCCTATAAAGGTCCCATACCACATACGTCATGCAGAAAATCCATGTTGTAGGGGTTCCTCCTTTAGGATAGTTTGCTGTGGTCAAAAGAGACATTGCAGTTCCATGAGAGGCCTCACTACTCACTGATCATGGAGTTGTCCAGAGAAATACAGCTCCTCCTGAGACAGCGGAAAACCCAAGGGGCTGATTCAGTTGCAGGTTGAGAAACTGTTCAGTGGTAGGTGTTGGCTGGAGGCTCTTAAACTGAGAACTAGCACAGATGTACTTACATCCCAGCATGTCAAAGGACACACCAGAAATATTTAGGAAAAATGTGCTCAAAATGGAGTGTAGCAATTCCTGTATTTGAAATCCAGCCAGTTTTGCCCTTGGGGATTGCGTTATCAAAGGCAATGCTGAGCTGGAGCCCAGGCAATAAAAGGGGAAAAAGTTTTGGAGAAATCAATATACGACATTCAAATTACTTTCTTGTTTACTCTCCCAACAGCTGCAAAACACCAAATATAAAGAGGAAAGTTTAAAATACACAGTGAACTTCATTATTACAAAGAAAAGTCTAACACAACAGCCATTCAAATCGATAGAAAACTCACTGGTTCTCATGGGGGCAGGATCAAGCCTATACAAAGCAAATAGAGTTTCCCCAATAACAAGCAGTTAAAAATATGACCTTTTTTTTTTTTTCCTAAAAATGTAAATCCATTGATGACCAATTACGGATTCGAAGATGTGTCCATAATCACTGGGCTCGCAGGAATGATTAGTGTCAACTTTAAGCACAGATAAGTCTCATTTTAAAATAGCCTGCTGCAGTATCATCTTACAATACATCCTGAAAGCCACAGATGAGAACAAATATTACCAAAATGCACAGAAAATTGAAAGTCCCATTATTTTCCCCCTCTTAATCCCTTTTTACAGATCTCATAAATCTTTTAATAAATAAGTAAATCACAGAGGTACTAAAGAAACTGGCAAACTAAGAGGTAGTTTACGTAACAAAGCATCTCTGTCTGCTAGCACGTCTCACTGCCGAGGGCAGCCTGCGCAGTTCTGGAGTCTGAAGCCATATGTGGCTGTTTGGCTACATCGGCTTATCTGAAAGCAATTCAGGTAGGTAGAGGGCTGCAAAAAACCATGCCCTGTACTCCTCACTTTCCCCAAGCATCAAGACTCTGTTTGCGTTTTGGCCCCCTGAACATTAAGCAGTCAACAGACAGGTTGATCTTTTAGTGTTAAGAAAGCCTTTGTCTTCTTAATAATGTTATACTCTCTCTCTATAGCTACTCTTGGCTTTATGAACACATAGGTGTGTGTCACATATACCTGAATACACTCAGATTGGTATAACTGGGAAAAAAACCTGCTCCTGCAGTTTGGTTAGGATGCAACATGATCAAAATATTTGATGTCAGCTCCATGTGGTAGAGTGCTCCATCGTGTACAAGAAATCATTCTCCTTTTGAGGCCTTACGACAACAAAAATTTTGTGTCTTCTCAAGGAGTATATTTCTCCTTTTGTGATCTTACAAAATGATACTGGTCTGTGATGAATTGGTACACTAGAGACAGCGTGCTGAGTTAGATAAATCTGGTAGTTTGAAGTTGCAGGCAACTCCTGTGATGCTGGTATGTTTGAAGAGAATAATAATAATGCATGTCTTACTATCTCTTCTGAAAAGAAACCAAGAGAAACCCAGATCTAATTACATATCCGTCATTAAAGTGCTCTACACAGACTGCTGGGTATCAGGTGTTGTCTTGCAATTCACTGGAGTCTTAGGACAAGATTCTGATAGGCTTTTCTTTCACTTTCCCATGAATGATGTTTCTTCACATAGTCTTTGGCCCTTGTTACAATTTCTGTTTTCATAATCGGGTCATTCATCAAACTCTTGGACAGCACAACAAACTCCTAAAAAAAGATAAATAAAATAATAAGTTAAAAGTTCCTTGAAGTTCTAATGATACTGAAATAGTTTGTACCCGTATCTTGATTTTGGTAAAGCACTTCAACTGTGAGCCAATATATGAAGCTGTTCAAAGTCATTTTTCAAGGTCAAGTACCATAGTTTATTTATAAATAATGATCAATAAGTAGTTATTTTATATTATTTTATGTAGCCCTCCAAATAAGACATTTAAAATCAAGGCCAATCCCAAGAGCATTAAGGCAAATATGGGCAACAAATTTAATGACAAAAAATTGTTTACCTGCCCAACTGTCAGAAAACCAGGCTGGTTATAAATGAAATAAATCATCTGGTTTCCTGCATGGAGGACATCTGGCATCAGATTGATTGATCTCAGCTCAGCTAACCTTCTATCTCATTGCTTCTGTGACATCTTTAATGGTAAGAATAAAAAAATTCACTACATAAATATAGTCACAATAAAGATAAGAGCAGGCATGCAGCAACAAGCTCTTCCAGAGTAGTTGCATCTGGGCAGCTACAGATACAGCAGTGTCAGCTCAACGAGCTCTGCAAAAAAGCCAAATATTAATTTCTTTTAACTTTACTGGGCAAAATTACTCGCAGATTACAACTATTCCTTTGCCTCCTCCTCTGCACTCTAATTTAGTTCTAGAGAAGAGAAATGGTGAACTTCCAACACGTGAAAGGAGATTTGATGTCTGAACTAATCTATTCTGAGCAGCTGGTCTAATTTGCTATCAAGAGACAACTTCCAATACTTCAGCTTGATTACAAATGTGCCTCAGATTTTTGCAAAACAGTGTCTTGATTGAGCTCAGAAAAGCAGATAGCTATTGTGCCAATGGAAAATTAAGATAATGTATTATCACAGAATTGGTAGTGAAGATCAGGGTATAGGGATGTGGAGGACAAAAAGGATGGGAGACACAGATATATTGTTTACACAGTCTGTCAACTACGAAAGGAAATACCACAAATAAGACCAGAGTGCGTATCAACACTGGGTTAACTAGCAAATTATATTTGAAAACCTAAGTACACAGTGTCTATAAATACATACAGAGATAAAGAATCTTTGGTTACCACAGAATCAGTGTTGCAGTTGTAATGCAAGTGATGGCTATGCATAATATATTAGTGTGTGTGACCTCTGGGAAACACTGATATGCGAAATCACACTGAACATGTTACAATCACTGCTTTGACTATCACTGACAACACAAACTATCAATATATGCATCACTGCCGTGAAATTAAAATAGGCAGAGATGCACATTGGTTCTGTTGGAAAGGTTTGTAACTAGGTAGTAGAATAAGATGATGTTCATACATGCATATTAATGATAACCTCTTATTTTACCTAGAGTCAGTACTGCTTGTAATCATAGAATCCTAGAATGGTTTGGGTTGGAAGAGACCTTAAAGATCATCGAGTCCACCCCCCTGCCGTGGGTAGGGACACCTCCCACTAGCCCAGGTTGCTCAAAGCCTCATCCAGCCTGGCCTTGAACCCCTCCAGGGATGGATCTGTCCACGCAGCACTGAAAGAGCAGCCTCTGGAATGGCCATGCTTTGTATCCAGCCTGCCTTCAGTGTCCAGAATCACTCTGCAGTCAAGTATGTGCTAATTTAGTGTATTCAGGTCCTTACTTGGGAACTTCAGCCATGTGGGCTGAAGAGGCTGTTTTCTGACTGCTCCTGAGACTCTTCCTAAAGAAGTCTGGTCTAGAGAGTACCCTGAGGCTGCATCCATCAGACACTGCAGATACAGCCAATGACTCCAACTTCAGAGACACGTTCTTTTCCTTCCTCCATATCTGCCAAGAATACAGAACAGGGAAGGTGGGAAAGTCTTACATGACTTATGTTGGCTTCATCCAATTGCCTGTATAATCACAGTAATAAATACTGTTCACACTGAACTACATTCCAACTTTAATTTTATGCTCCTGTGGAGGATTTTGCTTAAAGTAATGTTTTAAAATAATTTATGTAAATTACCAAAGAACAGAAGCAGCAATGTAACATTTCTTGACAGGTAGTCCTATTAGCATTCTTTTAAAATGTGGATATAGAGGACAAAAACTTGGAAACACGTAAATGATAGAAGAAATGAGATTCTTATTCACAGTTACAATACTTAATGCTGGGGATAATTTGAGGAAAATGCCAAACTGAGTCCAAAGCATAAAAGTTGAGAAACTGCAAGAGAAAGAAATAGCAAATGGAAAAATACCAGGAGACAGAGAATAAGGACTTCTCAGCTTTATCCCTCCTTCTTCTACTAATCAAATGTGACCACCTGCAAGCCACTTGCAACCTGACTGGAAGCCACTGGGAAGATTCACTATGACTTATCTGGGTTTTGCCTCATACCCTTCGAGCAGCTGGCTTAGCTTGTTTTCAGTTTTGGATGCCCAGCTTTAGATAGCAATAACTTCATTTTTTTCAGGTGTCTCCCTTAACTCCAACTGACTTGCATTTCTGTTGTAGTTTTGTGGTACGTCTGAAGTATGGGCTCTCACTTGCAGAATGCAGACATTCAGAACTCAGAGGTCTTTCAGAACATCAAGCATTTAATTTTTCTTTTCTAGAAGCCCCATGATATACAAACTACTTACGGTGTGATAACATGTCTCTATCAGCTGTTATGCTATCAAGTAATATTTGCACAAATACTTGTGCACTCTCATATTTTGTAGTAGATGTGAAGTAGGCTTCACTTTTGGTGAAACAGGGGCAAAATTCATAAATTAATTTTCAATTATCAGAGTATGCACTCCAGCAGCCAAAATGAAGGAGGTGATATGCATGCTAACTTAATACTCGGGGGACATCCACATTTCGAATAAGCCTCTTGTTCACATACAGAAATTGGTATAATTACTATACATGACACAGAAAAACAGTGTAAAAGTTGAACCTCAGCAGTTAGCTACAACCTATAAAAAAACACAAGAGACGATAATCTTATGTACCTTCAGAACCAATATTACATGTGCCCTTTTTATGGTTAGTACTTTACTTCAAACACTGGCATTTTCAACAGCAACATCCATTTTACTTTTTTTTCCTAGTAAATTGACCAATCATCTTTAAAGAAAATGTCAGCTTCTCTATATAGTACCTAAAAGAAATTCTGCATAATATTTTTTAGAGACCCAGAAATACAGGTATGTGGGAGATAAAGCTAGAAAATGAGTGCACTGAGTAGAAAGAATGAATATTCCTTCAATTACCATGAGAACTACACTGGTGCGGCAGCTCACGCATAATGAAAATAAGATGCATGGTTAATATATTATTTATGTAATGAAAGTAAGTCTGCAATTAAACCATTTCATATCAGCTTCAGCAGATAAAAGAACATGATTTTTAAACAACAGAGAATCACCCCAGGAAAGGCAAATGTCAGCTGTAAATTCAGAACAGTGACAGATCTACCTGGTGGCAGGCAAAGCTCAGAAGTTACCTGGCACATCTGCGCACTTCACAGGGCAAAAGGCCAGCATTTCTAGGGGAGTACAAACAGTGTTTGCCGGCAATTAGTCTATTTGGTGTGGAGGTTCAAAGGTCTATATATCTGGCTATATTCTGGCTTGAAGCCCTGGTAGAAATAGCATTGACCTGTGTTTGGCAGAGGAGACTGATGTGCCTTCAAACCATGGAGCTGAGGTTCCCTCTTACCACCTCCAAAGCTGTCTCTGCTCACCGTGGTCCTTCCAGGTCCCTCTCCCCAACTCTGTTTATGCTTAGCCCCTCTCTTACTGGCTTGGAAGTTTATTTACCTCCTTCTGTTTATTTAGCCCCTTCTGTGAGCTTTGACAGATGCTGAACATATAATTTTGAAAGTTGAGATGCTCACTAACTCTTTGTGTCTTCCCTTTTAACATGGTTTTGTATTATTTATTGCCCTATTGTTATCTCTTTTTTTTTATTCCAGGGCTCATTACTTCAGTGTCAAATATTCCACACACTTGCAAATTCAAGTAGTGGCAGGATCAAACCATGATTTAAAAGTGATGTGCACAGATGATGTAGTATCAAGGACAAACCGTTTCATAGCTTTCACTTTTACATTAACTGTTTCCATCTGAGTATTGTCTTCAGTGACTGGCAAGGCATTCACTATTTCCAGTCATGAAGCCTCAGCCTGAATACAAATGGTTATTGATGACTACAATTATGCACAAAAATTCCTACTTTCCTGTAAGCCACAAAAGCTCACTTTCAGAAGAAATCCAACAGCGTTCACAATTTTAAACAATTCTCATTGTGTAAAGGTCAATTTATTCCCCTCTAATTTAGCTTTCAAAAGATAAGATAGTCCACGGCCCAGACACAATTGCTCATATCTAAGCTAACCGCATTGTAAAGCTTTCCCTCCCCAGATCAGTCACAACTTGAAAATAAGCAATGCTTTCTACTCTTGACCTATGATACAATCTGTATCCAACCAGATAGGATCCACTAAAGTTTGCAATGAACATTTCTTTGACATTTTCTAATCTTTGGTGGTCCAGATTCTTCGAGACAGACTTTCCCAAGCACCTGAATCCAGTACTGATCTCTCTGTATGGTTAAAAGCATTTTCCCTAGCTAACCTGATGCACTTGAGGTAACAACAGAAAATAGTTTACCACATACTTTAGATGTCAAACGGAGATTACAGCGTTCTAGCCATATTTATAGCTTGTGACTCTAGTTCTGATATAAAAGAAAGTTCTTAGCCATTCGTACAGTCACTCATGTCACTGGGACTACTTCTGTGCTTAAAATTGCACTTTCTTCTAAGTGAGGAAATATACAGCATATTCTGAATTCATCTTGGATTCCAAATAAACACTGGGAGTGTAGGATGCTTGGAGATCACAGAAGAGGATGGGGTCTGGTATGAATAATGTATTTGAATCCCAAGCCAAATGTAGCCAGCATGTTGATGGAAACAACGGAATGTATCAGAATTAATATCAGGAGACCCATCGGTCTGTGTGTTCAACAGGATCACATATCCTTGAAGTTTTGAAGAAGCATATGGAAGACAATGGGCTTTTTTTGCTGGGAATAAATGTAAAATAATTTTACAAATAGCTTTACATCTCAGCCTCCACTAGCTTCTTAGTACCCCATTTTCAAAGGATATTGCAAGAAGAGAGAATACTTCTGTAACAAAATAAATTCCAGAAACTAACAAATAATATTTTTTTTGTAGAAACCATTGGAAACATTGGATGTTCCAGAAAAAAAAAAAAAACAAACAACCAACAAAAAACAAAAACCACACAACAAAAAACAAACCGTGAGCTGCAAGCATTTTTCTATTAAAAAACCTCTAAAACTGAAAGAATTCACCTTCCTGAAACACGACTTAATAGGATGCATTAATCACACACTCTACAAAGTAAATAAGTATGATACATTTTCTACTTTGCAAAATTATCAGACTATTCTAGTAAGTTTTTTTAAAATATTGAGTTGGACAAAAACACTGATGAAATCTGTGGCTGAAAGTCATCTTCCACAACATATATGAGTATATAACAGCAAAGCTATAATGCAGGAAAATATACTGAAATGAAAATTTCCAGCATTTAAATATTGGTAGTGTTCCCTCTCTCCCCACTCTTACTTATCTTCACAGAAACTCCATTCTAACACTTTACTTAATTTTAGTAATTAATTATTTTCTGACTGAGCAATGTCTTGGACCTAATAATGCTTTACATTAACACTTACTGCTAGAAATTATAGATAACGTATTATCTAAAACTTCAGGCTCGTAGTTCTCTTTTGGCTAGCTACTGCTTGTCTAATATGAGTTGGTATTTCAGTTCGTACTTGAAGGGAAATATGACATATGCACAGCATCTATTCTAGGGTCTGCTTATGGAACCTTCAAAAGTAAAGTGCAACAAGTTGATGAGAACTGAGCCCCATTCGGATGGCAGCCTCTAAAGCAGCAGGAGCCAGACAAACGTTCAGCAAGGCTGACACCTAGTAAAAGTTTAGTGAACTGCAAAGGGAATGTGAGACAACAGCAGAGCTTCAAGAAAGGCTGTCTCACACCCAGGTTTTTAGGAGACTCTGAGAAAAACTGCTGAGAGGAAAAGCCAAGCTTCCAGCCAGACACAAGCATGTAATGGAAAATGAACCCAGCCTTTGGAAGGAAAAGGTCTAAGCACTGGTTGTTTTTTTACCTGGGGATTTGAAAATAACAGTCCTGTTTCCTTATGTTTTATTATTGCTGCATTCCCAGGAATGTTCCTTGCTAGCACTGGAATATCTAAATCCATTGCCTAGAGGAATATAGAAAAAAGGAAACAATAGTTTATTAGGATTCAGGCATTTTGAGATGTTAGTGACAACAATTTTAAAATGAGAACCAGGAACAACAAACTTCTTTCTCATCTCTCAAAGTTTGTAGCTGAAAAATACCATGTCTAAGGTGATCTCCTATATGGAACATCTCTGAAATACTTTGTTTATATTTTTAATAGTCTCTTAACGTTGAACCAGAAAGTCAATGGCTAGCTACTTCATCCTATATTGTTTTCCACCTCAAAGTATGCTGTTTGTTTCCCATTGGAAGCTCCTGATATATGCCAGGCTTGAAGAGGAGAAAATTAAAGTTCAGACCAAAGGTTGTCACTGTAAGTCCTACCGTTATTGTGCATAGATGAGAAGATTAGTTCATAGCACAAAAAGCCAGCTCTCCTCAATAAAGTCTTTGTCCCCTTGTTCCATTAAAACATGTTTTTTTCACAGATTTTTCTAGCATGTGTAGAACTGGAGAGATGTGGGCAGTTCAATAGCAGTGAAGGTGGCTGTGGAAATCACTTGGCTCCTTCTCTTCAGTTCTGATTCCTGTGGGTCATATAGAGATCTGGAAGGAGTTTTTCTTTTGACAGCATCTGTTACTATAGCCTGCCTTAGACTTTGAGCGTTCAAGGACTGCAGGGAAGTATGCAGTGATGCGGCTTGTGACTGAACAGTACCAAGGAGGGCAGAGAAAAGGTCATGCTTTCAGGAGACATTATGCTTTCAAAACACATTATCTACAAAGCTACTGGTATGGGACTCCTCAGAGACAGAATACAGCTGAAAAGGGGGGATTTGATTCCACACACATTATGGGCTGGTTGCTTGATGCATTTATTATTTGTATGTATATGTATGTGTGCATGTATGTATAGCATTTCAGGTTGCCTGCAGCATCAGGAGCAGAGACACAGCACAGCATCCATTCAACACTAGTAAACCATTTCCAAGAGACCTAATGCCTGGTAACTTTAAAAAATACGGCTTAGATTTTGAAGTAACTAGTGTGCAAACCCTGGCCACTCAACTCTCTTACTCATGCATATCTTGATCTGAAACTTTAATTACTATTGATGACTTTGAAGTCTTGAGATGCACTGACTCTAAAAACAAACTCATATTGTGCAATTATAACAGTGTCAAATAGGAGAAAGAAATTCACCACCCCAAATCTCCAGTTTCATACTGACTCCTTGTCACTTCAGAGTGAATACATTTTTAATTACTGTCATTACACTCCCTGATGGGGAGCAATTTTGCTTCAGTCTACATAGCAAGAAAACAAAACTCCAAGGAGAAAACCATGGGTTTTTTTATAGTTCGGACAAAACTGAAGACAACAATATCCAGGCTGATAATGTACAGAGTCAATTACGTTTTGAACAGTGAGGGACTGCTGTGACTTAGCAACATGTCTTAATAGCTCAAAATATCCAAGAGAAACATTGTCTAAATCACCACTGCAGATGAATTTACTCTGGTCATGGAAAGTCTATAGTCCTTCTGGCATGAACATCTGCTTTGCAGCAGTTAGCTCTAAAAATAATAATAGCCCTTAATTAAATAACCTGTTCTATACTCTAGAATGGATACTTTAGTATTAGAAATTACTGGACCAGCTGGATGTAATTCAGACAAATAGATCAATGAAGTGAACACAAACCAAAAATAAAAAAAAATGAGAAATATAAGAACTACAGATTTCTGAATTTAGCTAAGTGTCTAAAGTTGTTGAGATATGGGTGTTTTTTTTTTAAATAATAAAAAAAAAATCATTTTGGTGAGAGAAAAGACAGGTTTTGGTCATTCACAAATTATATTGTCATTTGCTCTGACTTCACTGTTAAACAAAACGAATCTGTTTTCCAAAAGCAGATTTACAAAAAAACATATGATGACAGTATCTACTTATCAGCACAGCAAAGTTCATAGAACTTCAAAGCTCACCCAGGGAATGTGAGCTATCGGGGTCCCACTCTGCTTGGCAGGTTTTGAATCTGCAGATCGAGGAAGCTGCTCTTGGCTCTATTTACCCAACTGTAGACGAACACAGGCTTCCCATAGAAGCATCAACATCTCCAAGAGAGACAGAATTTCTCATCAGCTCTTTTTCAGCCCTTTGTATCGACAGGCCTCAGTGCCCTTGTGCTCAGTCTGCCGGCTGTTGGCCTCGCTCAAACACGTTCAATGAACAGGGAATGAAGACATTGTATTTGAACTTCTGAACTGAAAGTCAAGAGCTTGACAGTGGCAGTGAAGTGTGTCAGCATTCATTGCCACCTGCCCAAGGCCGTCTCCTCACCTCTCTGTATTTCTCCTTTTAAAAACCAAAACTGTGAGAGTATTTCAGGTCTGGCTACTTTCCAAACAAGCAATTGTCCATTCAAGGGATAGAGCACAATTAAAAAAAAAAAAAAAGAAAAAGAATGAAAGAAGAAAACACACAAAACACAGCACAACCACACCAGGACTGATGGTTGGAAGTGCCACTATCCCCACAAATAGTCACCTGCAAGACAGGAGTTTGGATTCGAGCATGTCAGATGCAGTGAACAGTGGACACTGCTGTTGGGCTGCCCATTGATAGTGACCATCAGATAGGTGTGTGCACAGCCTGTGGCAGCTGGGCTGGACTGGACCTCACGGTGTGGCTGTGTAGGCTGGCACAGTATTGCTGCACTGCAGTTCAGATTGGACTGTAGTGCATATTTAAAAAAAAAGTCTCAAGATATGTTCATTCACCTCTGTTTCTGAACACTACATAGTTGATGATTCATTGAAGTTGATCACTGAGTTTATATTTCATTTTATGTAATTTCTGAAATCTAAAGGGAAAGACATTTGCTCTGTTTGTTCATAGAGTTGGAGGGCAGTAACTACATAAAAAAAACTTTCAGGTCTCAAAACACATAGGAACCAATGAATTATAGCTACTGAAAGACAGAACAGATGGCCAAATACATAAGATGAGGGGCTGCCTTTACACCAGCTCGCCTTAAACAAATGGATTGGGCTGTAAATAATTACTGCATGAAGTGGCTTAGAATTTAATTTAGATACTTAGTCTATTTTTAAGCAGCAAAAAGAATCATTTACATTGTTGAAAATATGTATAATTTACTGACCTAGGTTCCACAAATAATAGCATAAAATAACATTTCAGTCCATTGGCCATCTGTTTTGTTACATTACTCTGACTGCAAATGTATTTTAATGCTGTTTCAGAAGTATAAATTTCAGCTTTGGAAGCATGTTACACAATAAGCATTTCTAACCAGCAGTATAAGGCTTATAGAGTAAATACAGCTTTTATTTACTATTTTGTCTTCTGGATTGTCCCTTATTTTCTTTCTCCTAGCCTATGCATCTTTTTGTTGGCCTCTCTTCAATTTTACTACTCTACAACATCCCTTCATTTTTATTTTTTTTTATTTTCATAGTTTGCTATGGTTTATATTCCGAACTACTATGCCTGTACCTCACATGTTGTCTAAGACTGGATTTTGCCCTGCAGCAGAACAGTTTGGCCATCTTCCTTTTCTATAATGGTTTTTGTTTAAATTGGCTTTTTTTTTTGTAAAAGCATAAAAATCTAATGATTTTTACAACAGTTGGAATACTCTTGAGAGCACAGAAAAAGTACTCTGATGAATGGTGCTGGAATCAAAACCTTTTTCTTACCAACCATATAGAGAACTTATAAAATTTTCCAGTAGTAGTGCCTTTTTCCCCATCACAGGCCCAGGAACATGCAGAACTCCTGAGCTTTCTGAGCAAGAGATGTGTTTTAATGCTTGCTACAATGCTTGTTTCTCTTCTTCAAATGCCAAACAGAAAATAGATCAGTTACGGCAAAATCTCTGAGATACCAGTGATAAATGACAAAGTAATTAGTTATGGCTTCTAGTTCTGTCATACCTTAAGGCAGGTTGAGATAGATATGATCATATATTTATCTCATTTACCTATGATGTGTTTATCTCATACTAAAATACTGTTTACAGATTTATAACCTTGTTAAATTTTGAACTTTCAAGAGAATGAAGGTTGCATTTTCGAATTCAAGCAAGATGTTATCTCCAGCCTAGGACCAAAACATTTTAAGTTGTCTGCCTTATTAATTTAACAAGATCTTAACAGATGGCCCTTCCTCCTGCTGGCCATCTCAAGCAGGGACTTGACTTTATTAGATTGACACTTCCTCCGAGAGAGATATTTTTATAGTAGGATGTTTTATATGTCATCAAATCCCACTGTACAACTGTCTAGTAAACAGACATAAAATACTAAAAACCTTATAACTTTAGAAGAAGAATTCAAACTGGTCTGAGGTACTATAAAGCTTCAGGTGGTTTCTCAAGAGATAACTAAAAATCTAATTCTGCTTGTAGAAAATCCTGACTCAGCTGGGACCGGAGCTGTTGTCGCACAACACCTGTGCCATGGCTATTGGACCTTCCTTCCTATAATGCAGGATTTCAGATTGCACCTGTAATTGGTAACTCATCTGCCTGTAACCAATATCCACCTGAACTAGCATGCTCAGGTTTCTGAAAGCATGACAGCTCTTTTTATCCCTGTTACGTGACTTCCATGATAAACTCCAAGTTACGAGCTCTCAGTTCAGGCTGTCCTTCCTCCACTATTCAACAACGAGGCCATATAGGACTGAGGCTGGTGGAAAGAAGTGGGTTACACCTATGGTTAGAGGTTCTCCAAGAGGAAATATTCCACTTCAGAATATTGGAAATTGCATTTTGTCTTCAACACATGATTATACGTGAACACAAACCAAGCCTGACTATTAGGTTTGACATTATCCCACCAATGTAATAACAGAAGATAAAGAAGTGTGGAAGAAAAGCTTTCTGAAAATGCAACATGTGATTACTCAATAGAAACAGAAATAGGAGCTTCATTAATACAAACGATTCATATGATTTTATGATTCTATGAAATCATGTAATAGTTTCTGTTATCTTCAGAGATCATCACGAACCAGCATTCATCAATCACAAAAAAAAATAAAAAACGGAACAGTAAAATTGTCTGTCCAAAGAACTTCTACTTTAAGTAAATTTATTTTTTTCCTAGAAAGCATTTGATACCAAGCAGCATCCTACATTGACAGGTATGAAATAAACCTGGTTATTACTTTGCAATACTGATGGGAAAAAAATTAATTGAGCATGTCATTCATTCATTAATAACTTCAGAATTAAATAACCAAATACAGCTTTTAGATTGCTTTTTGAAAGGATGTAAAAATAAATGAAAGTCTATTCTAGCAACATTATAAGGAAGTGAATGTTTAATCAAGAACACTGACAACCCCAGTAAATCAGAATGATTCTTATATTGCAGGTCTGTATTGTTAATTTAACAGGACTGATAAAATTACATTCTGTCCTTTAAAAATAAATAGACAAAGCATAAAAAAAAGTGAGTTCAAGGGAAGAAAACCTTAATTACTAACACTTGCAAAAATAAATATTTTAGTTTGGTCTTCACTAGCTTTGAAACATGGCCATAAAATGTTGACATACATTTCCAGTGATAAAAGGTGATTTCAGATCCGCTGTAACCTCACTGAAAAACCTTACCACTAAGATGCAATTACCTCCAGAATTGCAGCAGACATCCCTTCTGAAATGGAGCTGTTCACCACAGCAAAGCACCTTTTCATAGCAGCGTGAAGATCATCTTGTGTCATCTCCTGTAATAAATGTACTCCGGGTGCCCTAGAAATAAAATGCACACAAAGAGGACACCGCCTAAGAACGTGCTCTAACAATTCCTCCTAAAACTTAGGGCAATGATGGGAAGTGGCAAGAGCAATTCAGGCATGGTTCCGATGTTAACAACCGCGTGCCCATGGGCAAGCCACTCTACTGTGGTTTGGTTAGCTTTCTATCTATAAATGCATGTATAAACTCAATGCAGTATACATTGCTATCTGCCACTTTGCTGTCTGTTGTTCCAGTGTTTTATAGTTGATCACTTAACACCATTTTCTGTTAACCACAGCCAGTCTCATAAATGAAGGAGCTGAGTTTGTTCATTAGGGGTGCAATTTACCCTTATAGAATTTGTGTACTATAAGGAGGATGCATGCAGAGATTTATGAAAGACACACTGCTTAAGTATTTAGGGAAATGGAGCACGATCATGAGAATGGTCAATGGCAGGGGATGCTGACTTTTGAGATGCTGGCTTTTGGAGATGGAATGTGGTTCTGAAGGATCTCTTCTGCTTCCTCTTTCACTATAAGCACTCTTCTGTTCTGAATTGTTACATTTCTACTGTCCTCATCTTCCTCAGATTAATCAAGGTCAATTGAATCAAGGGTGAAGAGTGGAAAAATAGGGTAAGTAGGTGTTCAGTCTCAGATGAAGTGAATGAGATCTTTAAGAATTGTGATCATTTTTGAAAAGCCAGCATTTCCTCTGCTTGATGAGGCTGCTCCTGCCTCTTTAACCTCAATATGAGATCACTAAGCCAGACGGAAACACAAGTGCATTTGACATTAAGACCAGCTCCCTGTCAGGCAGACTCCGTTAAACATTGCTTTTCTCATTGCATAGTAATATCCAGCTTCTGTAGTAAATAACTATATTAACTGGAGTTTAAATACATGATTGCAGGAGTCATGTTTCCCATGATTAACCTGATAGAAAACAAAAAATGTTATCTTTTGCTCCAAAAATGGAATTGAAAATCACGTATTTTATGGAGATTTTGTTATCAGGCATTATCAATCAGAGATAACATGGCTGTTCTGTTCAAGTCAGAAGATTCTAGGTTCTGCTGACACAAACAAAAAAATCTCATTTCTCTAACGTATATATATCCTTTAATCAGGAAGCATATAAACTATGGACAGAAAAAAAGCTATACAGGGCTACCTTGTTCATCTACCCACCAACAGCAAGCATGCAAAATGTTGTAGAAGCCAGGATGAAAGAAAGAATTAAAAGACCCAAAAGAATAAAAAATCTAAATCACAATCAGATGTGATTTAACACAAAACATGAAGAGATCTACTGGTTATTCTAAAATTCAAAATGTGTAGAATAGCTAGTCTGAGAATGTTATATGCCAAATAATCAGAACACATTTGTTAGTCATGTAGCCAGTTGTGCGTCTATCTTCATTTGTATATACAAAAGAGCATTTACGCACATGATTTAAAAGGGTAATCAACCCACTGCCTTCACCTGGAGCAGAAAGAAGGCTTAACATTAACTTCTTACCTTTTAACTTTTTCCTTAACTTCACTTGTAAAAAGTGGATCGACCTAGAAAGGAACACACACGGAGATATGCACTGCTTTAGCACTAGAGCATAAGTTTGAAATACCCAGAAAAGTAAATTTTAGCACATTTTTTACTAAAATATTTAAATGCATGAATGTGCTGAGCTTTAAAATCATACCACAGATCTGTAACTTGGTGGTTACATCTGACTCTTCAGCCAAACGCGTGTGATCGGCACTCAGAACACCCAGCTGTGGGGCGAGTGCACAGTACGGCAGAGCGTGAATTGACCACTCCACTCGAAACCTTTACGTGACTCCTCCAGTGCAGCACAGCACCTACTGTCAGAAGGGGAGGTTCCACTTCTCCCCTGACATCCCTCTGGCTGCAGGTTCTAATTAAAGCTAGATCTATTTAACGTGAATGACTGGTTTTGGATTGCTCTGCTAAGGTTAACATGACTCAAGTGACCGATTTGACAACTTACTGTCCAAGTGAGGGACAATGCGCTGATGTACCAAGCAATTGTCTGTCCCTTGATGTATGGAGTAAGCCATGGGAGGAAGGAAAGGAACTTTTCAGGCTTTAGTTAACACAGGAAGCAATCCGCATGTAAACTGAGACAGTCAGACGGATGTTATGCACTGATGGAAACATTTGTTTGAAAACTAATAAACAAAATTCTAAAATATAGTCTAACGTGAAGCCATAGTAGAGTTATTAAAAATTTGTCCAAGTTGGGCAATTAACTCCAGCAGGTTTATTTACAAAGCTTAACTATGTCTGCTATTCTCATTTAACATGATTAAAAGAAATAAACAGAACTCAGAAATCCTTAACTAAACATGAAGAACAGAATTGGACTTTTTTTATTAAGGCTGATTGCCTGTATTAGATTAATTTATGATAGCTTGCACAGCATGCAGCAGTTGTAAGTACTGACAATAACGTGGCTTATTTTTTTTAATGCACGTTAATATTTTGTTTTGGGGTTTTTCTTCACATTATGAGCTAGGGAACACTCAAGCATTTCAGAAAACTCTAATGGAAAAAAAAGTCAGAGTTTATTTTATAGCTATGATTGTGTACTTTGAGCACAAGATTAACTATTTCATGAAAACAGGGCTTCATATATTAAAAGATTCAAGCAAATCACTCTTGCACTACGGAATGAATTCCTACTGAATGCAAGAAATAAAAGGCTCACATAGCTGTTTAAGAAAGTATTTTTGGTAACAGCAGTAGGGAAAACTGAGTGCCCCTTCCTGAAGGGATACCTGATACTGGTATCTGTATGATACAGACCCATACACTGAACCAGTATGCCATGTCACAGGTTCCTTGGATATTTCATACTGAACTTCACAATTGCTATTTCTATATAAATATCTTCTCAGCTTTTTCCCCAAAGTACTATTTTGATCCTGAGCTGATCTCATGAGGAACCATACTCCATTTCCATTAAAACCAACAGAGTACCTGCCAGTGTGATTTAATGAGCAGTGGGATATGGTCTTTTGCTCTTCTACCTTTAGAAGGATGAGAAAAACCACAACCTATGACTCATAGAATTTATAAGATATTAATTTCTATTCCATCTACTTGTGTGGAAGCAAAGAAATTGTCATTTGCCTCATAAGCAGAACGATCCTTTAGGCTGTATTCTTCTATTGGTACATATTCCAATAAGACTTGGCCTGAATATGAGAATTCAGTTAAAATATTACTTTCAGGATGGGTGTAGAATCACTTAGAGAAGTGATCCCCCTGAGCTACATTTAGGAACTTGAGGGGGCACAGTTATCTAACCACAGGCTCAATATAACAGAAATTGGATACAACATAAGCTGCTCAGTACGTTGGAAATGCATTTAAAAGATGTGAACGCTTCCAAAGCCAACTGACTATGGCAGCATGCCTAGGAACTTAGCACAGTCTCAGAAAAAGCTTCTGAAAATAAAAGAATGTTAGTGCCACCCAAAATGTTTCCATGATCCAGTTCTTCTACAGGTAGAGTATTTGTTGCCACATTTTATTTTGTTATCTATCAACACAGCAGGCAGGTATTGGTAGGTATTGGTTACCTATCATCTTTTGTTAAAAAAATCATCCATCCAGAGGAAGAGCCTCCAGAGAGCTGTGAATTTCATCAATTTGGCAGAGATCAGAGGAAAGCAGCTCGTGTTGTATGAATAGTTTCTATGGGAACAGATGAGATAAGATGACACATGGCAAGGGGAGTGGGCACATAGCAAGAAACCACACCTAACCGGACCGGAGATGCGATTAAGGAAGTTCTATTCTGCTGACAGGCAAAGAAACATCTGAGACACATTTGACAGCACAGAAAGTCACAGATCAAATGCTGCATGAAGAGAAAGGTGCCGGTTAAGCAAAGGGCCTACCATGATCAAAACCTAGGAAATCTTTCATAAACACACTATATCAAATTGCTGTCATAAAAAAATTAACTCTGACAGAAGCAATGGTCCAGAAACATCTTCATTATAAAGCTGGGACTACTGTGGTCCTCTGGACTTTGAAGGGAAAAACAGGGCTTGGTACATCTGAAGTTCTGTCAGAATATCACCCAGAGTGCTAAAGAGTGAAAAGCATGTTCAATACGGATAGGAAGAATTTGCTCAATTGCTCAGATTTGACAGTATCACCACGAAAGGAATCAGCTCCATTCAGAGCAGCAGGTGACTCCACATTACAATTTTTATCTGATCGATTGTTGAATAGGTTCAGCAAGACCAAGTCCACTACAACTGAAAACACAACTGCTGTCTGCAGTGCAACACAATCTGCCTGCAGCAAATGTACCAGATATACTAAATGCTTAAGGAAATTCAATGTCTTCTGGTTTAATATGTAGCTTTACTACTGTAATTTAGGACAATTAACAACTTGTAAAAAATATAGTTTTAATTCAGCTGAAACAATTTGGCAACCAAGACCTAAATTCACAAAACTTCAGGTCTAAAACAAAAATATAAAACCTTTTAAAGAAATATTGGAACAGCTCATTTCACCATTTCTAACAAAAGTTTAATTTTCAGGGAGTTTTTCTTGAAGAAGCAGCAAACAAAGGGTTAGAAGAGTTGTCAGCTTAATAGTAGCAGTAGCGTTTACCTTTTAAAAATCTCTCCGTGAGTAGGACACTAATTGAGGATGTACCTGGTAGAATTTCATATTCCTCAGCAGGCTGAAGAATTTGAAATTGTATCTTTGTCTCCTATCTGATTTTCCTAATCATTGTGCTCTAGGATATTCCGGAGCACGTTATTAGACTTCCTGTAGTTGCTTAGTTTAGCTGTGTCAACAGCTGTTTCATTTTAGAACTAGCCCAGAAAATATCCAGTAGGTAACAGCCATCCATTCGAGAGAGATGAGCTCCATGACCCAACAGGACCCCCGTCTGTGGAGGCAGATATTCAACTAAAACTATCACAATAGGCATGGAAGGAAGTAGAACAGACGAAAAATAGCTGTCAATGAAAAACAGTATCATTACAAACACAGCAATATTCCATACTGTCTACAAGAAGGGGTTAGAATTACATAGAGAGCACAAAGTGGGCTTCAAGAGGTTACCCAACAGCTGGACACAAGGTTTGTGGCCTTATATAGAGATCTGCTGAAAATTAGCTATTGTTTCTGATTTCATTACAGAAATGAACAAAAGGAAAACTGGAAGAGGAGATAAATGCCCAAAATTTTACACTATATGGGACCCAATCCTGCAACATTACTTAGGTTGCACCATTTGAGACAATCATGCGTGGCAAAGGCAAGGAAGAGGTTATAATCTTGTGGAACCAAAGCAGAAAAGAGTGTGTGGGCCTTTGTTCTTTATAGTCTTAATTAACATAATGGGTGGGTTTTTAATATTCACAATAAACATGACTTGCTTCAAAGATAATGGCACTGATTTTCTTAAGATTTTGTAGTTTGAAAAGTAAGAATAAGAAAAGGAAGAGCTAAATATCAATAGAGCTGAGATTTCTTTTCATCCTTTAGCAATATTTCAGTTCTATGGGGAAATATGTTTTTAAATGTTTTAAGGAGGTTCAGTCCTTGATCCCGCCTATGTCCTGACACAGGGTTATTTCTGGTAGCTTACTGTAGAGATGTTAGCTTATGAAAAAGTGAAGCAAATTTAAAAAGACGACTAAAATGTTTAAAATCCTCACTGGAGGCAGCAAGTGCATCTTTTGATTCTAAAGCACAGCTTGATTACACCTGCTCTAGATCTGCCTTCCACACCAGTTCACTTCCAAATCATTTTGTGTGCTAGCGTGGAAAAAAAAGCAGATAAAATAAAAATGTAAAAACAGCTTTTACAACTAAAATCCTGTGCCCTAAAATTTACAAAGAACAAAACTGAATGAGAAAATAGGAAAATGGTTCTTATTTGCCCATTCAGATTTTATCTATTTTTCTTCTAAAACAGATTGCCTGCAAGTTTTCAGGCTCGTGTGAAGATGAATCATAGATGAGACTTACAGAGGGACACAAATACATTACGCAGATGAAACAGTGAAGCTTTTTTTTTTTTCTTGGCTAGCACTTCTACTAAAATACGTGCAATTCATTTGGAAGGAACGATACCAACTCTAAGCTTAATCTGAGGTGCACACATATAAGAACAACTCCGTTTCTGATTTTATTTCTTTTATTCAATGCCACCTTCCCTCTCAGATATCTGGATTGCAGGTTTTAGTGAACTCAGATTCTAAATGTGAAACAGACTTCACCAATTTTATTTGTCAGACCAAGCTCTGTCCTTGCTGTCTGGTGTCAGACAGAAACCTAACATCATTTTGCACCTGCTGACAACTGTTAATTGTGTACAAATTGAGCCAACCAGAAATGGCATCAAAATCTAAATGGAACCAACCAAAGACACAATCCTCCACGTGAACAAAAGATGTAAGAACAGGGATAATGAGCATCTGATATAAATTTCACAGTATTAAAAATCCTCATTAACAATACCTGCTAAAAAAAAATTCTTCTAGGAGTCAACTGTTGCCTTTCAAAATATTTGTTAGGCTTATTTATAAATAATTCATATTGAAATAGGCATTTCTAATATCTTATTTCCAAGAGTTCACATTTTTAGTACTTTCTGATTCTCTAAAAAATTTTGTACTATCCCACAGGTATAAAAACAGAAGCCAATATCAGAATCTAAATATTTTGATACTTTTTCTCTTCAAAAGTTGTTTCTGTAGTCAAATGAAACACTGAATGTTTTATTATAAGAGACCATAATAGATTAGTATCATTATCAAGTCACGTGCTTAAGCTAGACATAAAATTACACTCATCCAGCTGCAAGTGCCCTTTATAAAACCAGACCAAGCCTCCTAAAAAAACAAAACCCAACAAAACAGTATATGCAAAAGAAACCTACAGCTGCTGTAAACTTTTTGAGTGCTGTTGATAAGAGTTTGCGTTAATAAAAACCTACCTGAATAGACTTGGGCTATCTCAGCACATATCCTCTTAGAAAAACCCTTTTAGCTGCTTTGCCTTTTGCAATGCAAAGTGGAGCCCACGCTGAGTGAGGAGGCCTTTTAGCTGATGGCAGAACTCTGAACTTTGGAAGTCAGAGCACTGGAATCGCTCCCACTTCAGCAGTCCAGACCTGTTGTGAACAGCCTTTACAACTGCCAGGTTTGTACCTTCTTATCTCTGTAACAGCTAGAAGTCCTCTGATATAGGTTCAGTTTGGAAAGAATTATTGTGATATCTCAGATGTGAATAAACAGAAGTATTTATGAATAAACATAGAAATATTCTAAATAAAATAAAAATTACAACACCGACTTACTGCAGGTCCAATTATGCCCAGATGGACACTGGGATCCTTTCTGTGCCAATCTAAAACAGAAGAGGAACATATTTTTTTATTAATAAAAATTATTAATTTTTAATTTAATTCAATTTTTTCTCTGAAATCAATGTAAATAGCTGCATGAATAAAGAAGAATTAGGCAAATATTGTATTGTACTACTTAAAAGACTGAATGTGTACCAGATTTCACGCTCAGTCCCCACATTACTCCTCAGAATTCAAACGATTAGCATATCTGAAAGTTAGTATTTAGCATTTCTGCTTCATGCACTCTCTTATGATTCAAGGGTTATTTAACTAAGCTCAGATATTAATTTTGAATCATCTCAAGAGAACAATGCTCTGTATAATACAGTGACTGGCCACTAAGACAAAATTATTTGCATTTTTTCCTGTGCAAAGGAACGTGTGGAATCAACTGCAACCATTACAATTTATACTCAGTTATATGCACAAGGGAAATCTGCTGCTCTTTCAGTACCGGAATAGAACAAAACCAGTTGCTTGACTTTAATAAACTACATTTGTTATTGTGCATCACAAGGTGGTAAAGGCTTATACAAGTAAGCTGAATAGTGGAGGCCAAATTTCCAGCTTGGAATCCCTGAACCTTTTACAGACACAAACAGAACCTGGCAAAACATTCACCTCCATGACCATGAGAAAACATCAGCCTAGTTTCCAGTGTTGAGCCATAACGATGGGTGGTAAAATTTCCTTGTAATGTCAATGACATTAATTAGCACACATGCAAATCAGTGTAACAGCCAGGGGACTAAGATAAAAAAGTGATTTTGAAGTAGGTGAACTCTTCTTTTGTCTTCCATTAATATTGTATGTAACAGCAAAAGAGTTTTCCCAGCAAGTAAATCATCAAATACTGCTTTGATTTTAATGCTCTGTTATTCCCAGCAGGCTGGAAAAGATGCAGTACAGAAATTATGTGTTGAACAGATCAATGACTACGCGAGCATTTATTTTTTTTAAATGTAAATATATTATGAAGTTTTCTGCAACGAATAAAACAGCTTATGCCAAACTTATTAACAGAAATGCATCTAAATCCAGGGACAAAACAAGGATATTCAAATAGCTGGTACCTACCTGAAAATACATCTACTAAATACAGAGGGTCTTTGACTCTTCGAAGTCCGCATATCAAAAGAAACACATGTAAACTGTCTGTATCTGTAGGAATATCTGTAACAAATAAAGTCTGAATGCAGATAAAAAAGCTGAACTCTCCAAATTGTTTCATGAATGAGTACATACAGTGGTACAAGTAATAGGGTGGATTCTGAAAAATCCTCATTATTGTTCCCTCTGTTTCTTGCTCTTGCATCAATCCTCAAATCAACTGAGTGGAGAAGTTAAATCACGCGCATCATTTTATAGGGCACAGGAGTTTATTTCCAGAGGCAGTGAATGTGCAGGATTTGGAGAAAAATCCAGTGGCTGGTATTCTTGAACACTAGAACCCAGCTTTGCCTGACTAGGCAACTATACAAATCAGTGTTTTTCAGTATTTCAATCCATAAGAAGAATAAATTTGCATCCATATAATAACTCAACACCTGCTTCAAGGATATTGTGAGTTTTAGTTAATCAATGGCCGCAGGGATTACAGCTCTTGATCCAACACTTTTTGTTATAAAAGATCAGGTAAATGTCCCACAGTTACCTATCCTTAACATGCCAGCACTGCTACAGAATAGTTAACTAGGAGTTAAATTATTGCAAAGCATTTATTTTAACCTTATTGCTAAGAAAATCAAAGGAAAAATAATTCAGGAAAAAATCTCAACATGGGAGTTTTTAACCTTGATAATCTCTCTGGGAAATACACGGCAACAACCCATGAAAAATAATTTTGTAGGTTATATTAGAAGAAGATCCGATGTATGATACTGCAGTTGCCATTGGCTCTATGACAGTACAATTAATTTAGAACATTCTTCTGGAGAAGGGTCACTATGTGATGAGCTTTGGTAAAATGTGTTTGTGATAAAAGAACATAGCTCACAAATTGCTGAATGAACACACATAGCAACAATATAGTTTAATAAACATTGGAGGGGTTGAAATGTTCATATTTGATTTACTGTCCTGAACAAATCAGTTTGCTGTCCTTCAGTTCACCTGTTTATTGAGCTTGTGGCAAGGATGGATGACAGGTATTATCTAACACGGGGCAGTTCATCAAGGAGTTCTGCTGCTGCTGAACACCGCAGAGCTCCCTTCTCTGGGGCATCCTCCTCCTCCCTTTCCCATCCACTCTCCACCAGCTGCAGGAACCACTCAGCTGGTTATACAGCATCATTGCATTGCTGCAATTTGCAATTTAAGATCACCCACACTTGGGCCCAACCTATGTTTCCTCAAGGTGTTGTATAACTGCAGGGTCTGCTCCAGGATCTAGAAGAAATATGCCAGGACTATCGCCGCTCATGTGAAGGAATTGGATTAACATGAGCTCTGCATCAAACCTCTATTTTGTGGGAGGGGGAGAATCAAAAGAGCAGCGACTCACGACATACTTAAGTGCTACTGCTTTTAAAATTAAAATCCAGTTCAGGGACTTCTAAATGCTCCCTGTCACAGGGTCCATTACTGAGTCTGTTTCACTTAACTCAGACAGCTTGAGTTGCCAAGAGTGGTTGTAGCAGACACAGTAAATAATATTTTACTGGTTACTGGACCAAGAAATAATTTGTAATTTATAATGTACAAACATTTGGATTGAAAAAGCCATTCGTCTGGTGCAATGGGCCATTAATACTGTTTGTTTTTAAAGACACACAGCAGTGATTTCAATTCATGACATAAACTCAGACAAAACAAATTACTAGAAAGTGTCAGCAAAATTCAGATTGCATTTGAGCTATCCATATGGCACAAATATTAATTTTAAATTATTAACTCCCACCTATCAATGCTCAGCTCTGTCTGTTTTGGAATAGACTTAAAGTTAGCGCTGAAAGCTCAGACAGCAGTGAGAAGCCAGGTCTTCTTGTTCTCACATAGTGACTACAGACTTAGTGCACTCTCGATGTGACAGTACCCTAATCAACGTTAACTAGCCTTGAAATAACTGCCTCTCTTTCTCTCTTAACATCTTTTTGTTGCTATCCTATCGCTTTCAGTCTTTTCATTTTATTGGAAGAGGGTTTAAAGTGCTCTGCCAAAGAAAAGCCCGAAGAGACCGATTCCGTGCAGTCCCGCCTGCCATCCTGCTCCCTGTACGAAAACCTGAACCCGAAAGAGAAACAGGAAACTGGTCCCACAGACAGTAACTGTACTTTGTAATTTGGATTCTGCCATTCCGTTCCTGTGGCATTTAAAGGTACTTCTCCCAAGAATCTCATCAATAACAGTCCAATTATTTCACAAGTGAAATTACCCAAAATAACATTTATTAATGAAAATAGCCCACTCGTTTGACCTTTAATGTTTTGAAAAGACATTCACAACCTTGAATGCAGACTATCCTCTTCATGCAACTTTACAAAGCTCTACTTGTCTATCATGAGATTTTATGCACTTTTCTCTGAAAAAGCAAATATTGGGTACACTGGACTGGATCCTACACAGCATTTCTAAAAACTGTACTAGAAAAACTAGTCAAACAAGGATTTGCCTCTGCCATTCAATTTAGTGAAGTGAGAATGAGTAGTTTTATTTTACTGTCTGCTGTAGATCTTAGTCATCACCTAATTCATTTTTACAGGCAGACTTTCCCCAGTCAATCCACTTAGAAGCATATTAAGACATTACTGAGCAGATTGCATTACCAGCACATCACTGCCACTGTTTAGCGCTGGGAGTTTACTCATTCTCTGCCTACTTAAGATCAGACTTCAGCAGCACTTGTGTATCTCGTTAGCTTTCTGCTTATTCACTGAAAATGGTTAAATTCACACATCAAGATGATGCCTGCATCAGTGTTTTCCCATCTGTTGCTTTCTCAAACCTTGCTAACACCCCAGCTGCGGAAAAAAAAAAAAATATTAAAAAGATAGCCATTTGTACAAGAAAACAATCATTGTAGGACGCTTTGTCCTCACAAGTACACTGAAAAGGGAAACACATTAAGAGAATAACAGCAACAGATTCCTTGCCAGCTATACCCACCTTACCAGCTATAGCCATCACCTGGGTGAAAACTGATACTTGAAAGAAAATATTTTTCTTTTTCCTTGAGCTTAAACAAGACTTAAGAGTATGTGATTTTTTTGCTATCATTCGGCCTTTCCCAGATAGGCTACTTAACCTGTAAGAAAATACTACCGCCTTGTGTGAGTCAGTTCTGAAATGGAAATACATCAATATGCCACCATCAACTGATCTGCTCTTTTGATACATTCACTGTGTCACTACCTTGTTTGAATGACACACAAACACCCAAATAACAAAAAAAAAAAAATGCTTGCGTCAATTTCTCCCCAATTCCATTAGTGCTACAAAAGATTTGAAAGAGCACACTGTGCTTCATTATCCCTTAGCTCATGCACCCTTCTGTTTGCTTCACAAAGAAAATACAAAATGGAAAGGTTTGTACATAATCACTGGCAATAAAAAAAAAGACTGCATGGTACATGTTTTCCAACCATCCTTCAGAATCACTGTACACTAAATGCAAGTCAAGTCTTGCCACTGTAATCAACATCTCCTACAGTGTCAAAAATAATTGTTTAATGTCAGTAAGAGATGCTCCTTCAAATATGCATTGTCGGTATTTGTCTATGGCTGTAGTTTGATTTGTTACATTGGCTTTATCTGTAAAAAGCAGTTGCACATTGGCCACAGCCAGTCTTGAGCCTGCTTAGCAGGATGTGAGAGGTCAAAACAAGAACAGTGATTGATAGGATTCTGAAAACTCATTCCTCTCATCAGCTTGACGGTATGCTGTCCTGATATGCCACCCAGGATCCTGGGGATGGTAACAAATAACTGCAGGTGAGCTGAAAAGAGACAGACACAGTGTAAGATTAAGACTGACATGGAACTCCCGCAGTCGGGCAATGCCTTTGCCATGATGTGGTGTTATGCTGCTCAAAACTGAAATACAGCACTGTAGCACTGGCACTTAAATTTCAGAGTGGAATGGCATGATCAAAAGGGTGTCCACTGCTGTGCCAGTGTGTTCGTTGGCAGTATTGGAACCTGGCACAAAATATATTGGCTAATAGATGAAATGGCATTAGTAGTCAGGATTCATGTGTTCCTGCTGGCTGTGGTTCTGAGTCACCGTGGGTCCTAGAGAAAGTTTGTCAAATCTGGACTTATCCACCCAGACTTAGCCGTTCATCTGCAAGCAGGTTTAATAATTGCTTGACATGAAGCAATGGCACTGGGTTTAACTTTCGGTAAACTGTTTTGAGGCCTTCAGTTGCAGGACAGAATGAGAGGATGGAGTGTATGAAAAGTGGAAAACATCTTCATAATGCAACACTGGAAATAAGCAGTTTATTGTTTGAGATTTCACTGGCTCCTAGTTTGTTTCTTATCTGAAACTAACTGGTTGTCACATCAAGTATTTTGCTATTATGACACGCTATGATAGTTTACACTTTGGCCTTTATAAAAATATATACTTAGATGCCAGGACAGCAAAACACAAGCACAGACAGCTAACACCAAAGCCTCAATCTGAAGCATTAGTAAGGACATTGTTTTTCTAAGAAAGGCAAGAATAAGTAGAAGTGTTATCCAAACAGATTTTGAAAGAGCAGATTAATTTAACTCCATCCCTCCAGGTACTACAAGGAAAAAAAATGTAGTAATCATAGATGTACAGTAAAAATAAATATATTACTGCAAATCTTTAATCTTACTGAAAAGCTGCAGGCCTCTCAGTGAATGAGTAATATCAAGCATTAGCTTGCTGAGAGGTAAAGGAGCACTTTAAAAACAGCTTAAGTGAGCAATTTTCTCACCATTTGCTCAAATAAAGAAAATAAAAATAGTTTTCTTATTTAAAAGTCTTTACTGTGCTTTTATCAGTTGTTTTTGAAATCCCTAGTGAGGAGAAAAATATAAAAGAGAACAATGTGATTTTTTATCCAAAGTTGTTATTTTGGACCTGAACTAACAACCTCCTAAAGCCAAAGTTCTTAAAATTTGTTCATTCCTTTACTGCTTAAAGTCCAATTTGTACTAGAGGTTAAGTATATTTTACGGAGCATACCAATTTTGAATTTACAGGTTATAATTTAGGAAACAAAGGTTGCCCAGTACCATAAAAAAATCCAGTCAGCAGTCAAAACTTTTCTTATTAATATTAGGTCAAGGATGATCAAAGATTTTAAGATTAATTTTCCAGGCCCTGAGTTTAAGCTCACTGTTGTGTTCTATGGACCTTCAGAGAACAATACCAAGTCCATATTATTTGGGCTTCGTCATCCATTTTTGTTTTTCTTCAGAAACAAAATCTATGATGAGACGGTGAGGGTGAATAACCTTTCTCATTTTCCTTTCTGTTCTCTTTGAACCACAGCAGGTCTTCTACACCTCTTGAAAATTTTTCATCTATCCATCTCCTATGCATCTGAAAGTATTAACTGATAACCTAGAGAAGGAAATCCACAGGTTTATTGCTGAGATTTCAGTCTCTAAAATGGTAGTTTTATTTTCTTGAATTTGAAACATAGTTCATTTGTCCACCTCTCGCATGTATTTTTTATATCCTAAAACTTTCAATTCGTAGTTAGTCTTTAGATTCATCTCCCTACACACAGTGAAAACACCACACATTAGCTCTTTTTAGTCTCTTGGCACCAAGAGTTTGACTTTATGTCTCTTTCACAAGCCAACTGTTAAAAACAAGCTGCTCAGACCATCCAAGCTTTTCAGCTTGTTTGACGTGGCGGTGTCCTGCTGCAGTCCAGCTTCAAGTTGCTGTCTTATTTTATCCTGTCTCTGAAGTTTTTTTAATTGAAGTCACTGATGACACAGAACTTTGACAATTATTAGCCCAATTAGGTCTCATTCCAGCAACATACTTAACCACCTGTGGGTCTCAAACATTTATTAATGTTTTACAAAGTTGAGCTTTTATTTTACAAAGCAATTTGTTTCTTAGAAGTTAAGGGGAAGTGGAGGTAAGAACTATATCCAACGTGTTCATACTGCTGTTCACACTCAGTAGTGAATGATTGCTAGAGTTCCTGATATGTTTGTGAAGACAACAGAAGTTAAATGAACATGTTAACTTCCAGGGGAAGGCTGCTAATCCAGAAAAATTTGCCTGCAAAATTCTCCAGCAATCCGTTTTTCCTGTTTCTCATTATTTCTAAGAGATCAGACAACAAAAAAAGTTCTATGCTTTCAGATATGTTGGGGAACAGTTTACTGCTGCTATCATATCATTATTTCTATGATCTGCTATATACCTGCACAAAATTTTACTATTTAATTTTTCTTACATGGGTCGTTTTTATGAGTGTAGCTTTAGGTAAATATAATGCCTCTGTAAAACCCTATCTGTGTCCTGACAGGTTATGTAAACTTTTCAAGCTCTGAAAACAGACGTGCTATGAAGCAGAAATTATCTGAGGCCAGAAAAATCAAACTCCAAAAGTATATTGCTTATTTTATTTGATGGTGCAATAAGCATCTGATCCTATGTTTCTCTGTCACCTTACAAGAAATCAGTTTTTAGTCTTATCTGTTGGGTAGACAAGCTTTCTCCATTCATTCTCCATTAGTATAGACTCTGTTAGTTATCTATGTCTTCTAATCACATGATGCCTAAGTGTTTATCAGCGTTTACATCTTACAAGCTTCAGCCACATTCCACTGAAATCAAAGGAGCCTTTCATCAGGGTGTGATGACATCAAGCCTGTCTGTGATCTTAAGTATCTGTGCTCCATCCTTGAGCTAAGTTGTTAGAGATGATCAGTCTCACTTTGCGCTTTTACTTAGACTGTCTTATCTTCTGTCAATCAATTTTCAGTAAAAGCCTTAACTTTCGTTGTGTCTCTTAATTCTACAGACAGGCATCTAAAATTGCCAACAAAATTGATTACGCTGTATATAGATTCCTGTATTATAAGGTCAGAGAAAAACATTTTGATCATCTGGCTTGACCTCCAGACTGACACAGGCCACAGTACTTCCCTAAACAGTCCAAGTTACTAAGTATACTGAAAACATTGTCTTCTTGAGGTCTGCACTGAAATCTGCATTTGGTTCAGCTTTTTGGTCTCACTATGGTTGTTTACAGTCTCTCATCCACATAAGACAAATGCTGTGAAGCTGACTGTTAACCAGAATGCAACTAACTTCAAAGGCTCTTTTTTTTTGTAGATAAATGTTTTAAGAGCCAGCCACTGAAAGCACTGTAGCTAGGAGCTAGCACACCAACACTACACAAACACCACCTCTGCAACTCTCAAGTCTGTGGCTGAAAAAAATACTAATTCCATGATTTGTGTATGGAGAGTACATTGCACCCATAACAACAATAAAACCCCTTTCCTAGCACTGTTTCATTTTGTATTAGGCAATTGCTATTTACATTAACAACCCAAACTATCAAATGAAATGTACAAAAAGCTGGGATTCCTTTGCTTTTGGTTTAGTACTGTTCACATGCAGGGGCTGGTGGTGGCAGGAAGTCTCCCACAGTAAAATGTATTTGATGCGTTCTGCCATTCACTTAAATCTACCATTACACTATTTTTGAAGCCATTACACTGATTTAAAGAGACATGTTAAATATAACAGCAGTACATAAATAGAGTCAAATATTAAGGCTTTTCTATAACCGAAAAAAAACCATAAAAAGGATATTCATAAGACGTCTGTTCTATTTAAAAAAGTCTTGAAATATTCTGAAGAGCCTATTTCATTTTGAAGAATAACTTGATAATGTATGGCCTGATCACCAGGAATGTTTAACTCTGATACCTCAAATGTATTATATTTGCATTGTAGGGCATGTGCTACTTCTTTACATTCAGTCTCGGGAATCCTGAATTTGACAAATGTTCAAGTATACTGCTAAAGACAAAGGCAAGAGTTATCTCAAGAAATATTTCCCCAAAAAATTATTACATGCCTTTAGATATGGAATAGAACTTCATGAAAAAAGTATTTTTAAAAAAGAAAAAGGCCATGAGGTGAATAAGATTGGACAGCTTTATCTGCACAAAAGCTAGGGATTTTTTCAAGCGCACTTCATTGTGCAAGCTGACACTATCAAAAGCATATTATTTTGAGCAAAACTGTCTTCTATATTTGATAGTTTTCTACTGATTGCTCCAAGTTTAGCAGAATTTTAAACACTTTAAATCTGCAAATCCCTAGAAAAGCAATTCAGTGGGAACTCCTAATTAGTCTGTGGTAAGTGCAAAGGTATAGCCAAAAAACCTGCCTCCATGTGCAATATTGAAAGAAGTGGAAATTGTAGGCAGCCACCAGAGATGGAAATAGAAACAAGACTGATAAAATAAATGAGATGAAACAGTCATAAAAAACAATACTGAATAATCTGATGCCAGCTTTCAAGTTATTATTTAACAGGCACAGATGTTAGAGTCACATTTTAGTTTGCTTTTCATGTACGTTATGAATTATTTTGCATTTTTGCATTAGCACACATTAGGCAAAAAAAATGTCTCTAATATATGAGATGAAATGCCCTTTAGGGGGAGTTTCCCCCTCCTCAATCTGTTGACTGCTCTTTTAATCATAATGTGGTCGGACATGAGATCCAGTCAACGCTAAGGCTGTGCTAGCAAGTGACAAATCATTTCACTTCAGAAAATTATTAATCTTAGTGGCGCTGTGCTTATGTGCTGTGATTTACTGAGAACAAAATAACCTCACAATGCTCAATTTAAAATTGGACACTGGTTTTGAATAATGGCACACATTTACCGATGTGATAAAGCAATTGAGTAGTGAGGATTCATTCGTTACAGAGGGAACAGCTGTACTATCAGAGATCAGATTGATGAATATACTATTGAAATATTTCTACCCCAGTAAAATCCCTACAAATTCTTCTTTTGGGGAAAGGCAGCTGTAGCCTAAGGCATTGCCAAGATCAGGTGACTGTAAATGAGGTCATCTGACTTACATGTCATTACTTTGGTGAAAACAGAGGCAGGCTTTAAATCAAAACTAAATAATAAAACATCAACACATATTTCCCTTCTTCACCACTTCTTCATCTCATCTGCTCTTCTGCAAAAGACATTCAGAGTTTCTATCACGCAGCTGTAAAGCACAACATGCTCAGGTCTTGGTGCTCTGGTGTAACTTACTTTCTAAGGGACATTGACCCATATGTCATGCCTTATTTCATCTTTTGGTGTAATTCAGCCCTGTATAGACCTGAAATCTGGAGGCAGTCTGGGTAGCTTACTAACCAGACTAATCTGATCGATATTCTGCCTGAAACTAATATTAAGAGGTTTTTTAATTTTTCATATCATGAAGTCATTTTATTACATTATCAGTTAACCTTCACATTCTAAATTTCTTTCACCGTTAACATCCACTAAGAATAAATACAATGAATACAGGAAAAAAAAGTGAGTTTTACCTGCATTTTGGAGAAATCTATACCAGTCAAATGTTTCACTGGGCGTAGTCTTAATTCCTGTATTGCAAAAAAGAGAAACACAACATGTTTGGTCCCTGGATGGCTGAACTACAGTTCTAGAAGTCTTGCTCTAAGAAAACAGTATTTCTGTCAAGCACACTGAATTCCAGGCACAGCTGTTCCCATCGCAAGCTTTTCTCTTCCCAACAATGTCAGATTGTCTGCACAATCCTTCCATAGTCATCAGATGGAAATTCAATTGAAAATTTTGCACAATGACACAGTGTATTAACTTTAGCAACCCAGGGAATTAAGCTCACTTACATCATGCTAAATTTGGCCTTTTAAAATCTACATACAAGATAACATTATCTGAGGGAGCATATTATTCCAAAACAGATAGAGGTCAGTTGAGACGCAAGTCTTTAACATAACGCAAAGAAAGTAAATTTATATAAAAATTAAATATTAATCTAAACTGAATATTAATTTACTTGGTTTGCCTTATGTTAAAGATTAATTAGTTTACTAATGATAGTACTTTATTAATTTATTTAATCTTAGTTAATTATTCCCTCACAAGGGGTTTAAATATAGACTAAATATGGGCTAAGTAGACCTCACAGTGAGTTTTTTCAACATAACAGTTTTTAAAATAATTTAATTTTCTTTGAAAGTAAAATATGCAAAATGGAATGAGTTTTGGAATCTGTAGACAGTTATTTTTAGATACATAAAATCAGGAGCTGTAGCTTAAGTAATCACATCTAAAACGCTGAGTTGAGCGTTCCCTAGACTGCTCACTGAAGTAATATACTTTGGATTAGATACTCATTGGGTGTCATTATTCTGGGAACTCGAAGCATTTAAGGGAATTTGGAGCTTCAGAGAATAATCTTTCAGCATCATCTTGTGTGAAATCAGACTGAGGGTCTATTCCTAGGCTACTAACTTCTGTATGCTTTGGAGAAAGCTTGGTGTTACCTTATGTTTCAGATTCTTACCATAAGGTATGTGGGAAAATATTTTTTTAAAGCATCAAATGAGTTGGAAGTTTAGGCTAAGAGACTGAAATACTGCCTCAATTAAAGTCAATGTCAAAAAGCTCAAGTCTACTGGAGCTAGGACTTCAAACCCCATACCCATATCAGCAAAATATTTCCAGGGCAAAGAAGGTAGCTACATAAACATTCAGATACTAAATACATGATTCAAATAAATTGAATGCCTTAGTCAATATTTCAAAACTCTCACCTTGAGTTTGGACATATATTTTCTTCCTAGCATCTGGCTTTAAAGAGAAAGAGAAGAAAAGTAACTTTCATAGTTCACCATCAAAGATGTGTTCGATCTTCCAAAAACCCTAACTAGCACAACAAAATGCACATCAGTGTGATTTTCTTTTGACTCTTAAAAATCAAAACAGATTATTAGAAAGATACATTTAAGTAACACTGAAAGCCCACAGTAAGTAATTTAAATTACATTTACTATGAACATTTAGAGTATCAGTGAATCACCTTTGCAATTAACACAATCACCAAGTTAGTACAAACATATTTTTTAGTTTATCTCTGTATCCTTTCTCACAATCATTAGCCTGCTTATTGCATAGAAAATTAAAATATTTCCCTAGAATAAAAAGTTTTTCAACTACAGAACAACTACAGTTCCCAAAAAATGCTTGTCTTGAAAGAAAAATTATAGCTGGTTTTGAAACCATAGGCTACATTTATCCATAATTTTTAAACACATCAGGCATGAAACAAACTCCATTTACCCCAAATTTTTCAAAAATTGCTGTCAAATATATGTAGACCTGCCTATACAGGAAAACTGGTCAGGAGTAGTTATTGCAGAATATACAATAAAAATTGCATAAGAAATTATTTTCAAATAGCTATAGTAGTAGAGGTAATTATACATTTCTAAAGTCACTCCTGAAGTACTACTCTGCTATTATTTAATTTGTCTGACTGAATAAGCAATTTCTTATTTCAATATCTCTTATAACTCTAACCATGAATTTGTTGAATACATTTTTGTCCAAAAAAAATCAAAATATTATTGGGATCTTTCCACATTGAAAAAAAAAACACCAAACAAAAACCAAAAAACCAACAACAACACCACTCCCCAGCAAACAAGGAGAGTTTTTTGAGCTCAAAGTGTTTGTGCAAAGCTTTCTATTCACACAATTCCTGTTTGTTTTAAAAGCACAGGTTGTAATGCCTGTAAAGGAGTAAGCTAAGGAAGGTATTACTCAACTGCTATAGTCTCCAATAGATTTTGCTATAGATTTTCTCAATATTACCTTGAATGTTTCAGACTGAAATTATATTTTTTCAAGCAGTTCCACTAATGCTATTGTTTAATTTAGCACCATAGCATCCAGAAACAACCAACCTTCTAGAGCACCTGTCCCTCCTACCTCGAGACTAAATCTTGGCTCCTCTTTGGTGCCAATTTCATCACATAGAGAGGCACAGTGCTAGCAGGCTGCGACTCTCTGAGTCACTATTTGCCTGCCATGGCTCTTTCTAAAGTACGATGGAAAAAGGACTACTGGATTGCCCCTCCAACTATTCCCCTTTTGCATGGAGGGATACACTGCTGATACACTGCTGGACTCTTCAAGCTAAACACTGCTATGCAGACTTGCCTCTTAACGCGGAAAGTTGTTGGAATAACATAGCCAGAGTTAACCAAGGCAGAGCAAGACGTATCCCAGTGCGTCGTGCCAACCCGCACGTGAGTCCTCCCTTCTCCCTGCCTACCCTCACCCCATCCTGAGCAGATTGGGAAATCACACCTGCAGGGTGATGACTTGAAGGCAGGAACAGAACTTGTATTAGAAAAATGAGAATTAATGCAGAAACAAACTGTTAAGCAACTGCGCTGGTTTGGGCTGGGATGGAGTTAATTTTCTTCCTAGTAGCTAGTATGAGGCTGTGTTTTAGATTTGTGCTGAGAATGACATTGATAACACAGGGATGTTTTAGTTGTTGCCAAGCAATGCTTGCATTAAGCCAAGGACTTTTTCAGCTTCTCATACAGCCCCTGCCTTCCCAGCTTCTTCTCTACGGAAAGCCAGGACAGCTGACCCCAACTGACCAAGGGGATATTCCATACCCTAAGATGTCACGCTCAGTATATAAGCTAGGGGAAGTTGGCTGGGAGTGTGATTGCAGCTCAGGGGACTGGCTGAACGTATGTCAGTGAGTGGTAAGCAGTTGCATCCCTTATTTTTCTTGGGTTTTGTCTCTCTTTTTTTTTCTGAAACACTGCAGCTCAGGAAATAAACCAAGGAAGTGATTTTTTAATTTTTTTCAACCTGCAAACATTTTGTTTTTCCCCTATCGCCCCTATGTGACTGCCCCTCTAGTCCATGGCCCAGTCATAACACTCTATTTTAGTTATCAAAAATTAACTGGGAAAAAAAAAATGGACAGAAAAAAGGTCATTAAAAGGTGAATAGTCATCAACAACCGATTCACAGATGGGAAAGAGGTGGTTTCTGAGAATCAGAGTGAATTAGTTAATTCACAAAAAATACATGAACAAGCAGCAAATCCACACAAATGAAGTGGAGGGAAAATAACACCGTTTATGCTACAGTGGAAGACTAAGGATTTTCTATTAATTTTATCTCTCAAAAGCCATATGAATCTTTGTGTGTAAAGCATTTAAAAATAAGAAAATATAGTTTAATAGCTTATTTTATTACTTAAAATTTCTTGGTCCTTCTCTTACCTGTGAATAAGTAGCACTTTAAATTATATCCGATGTTCCAATCCTAAAAAAAAGCCTTACAAACAATGGTGACAGCATTGCAAGCTGGAGGCCAGCTTCAGAGTTTAAAATTGCAGGACAAGTGGGACAGATGAAATTCAGCACTGGGACATAGATGCAGCAAAACAGAAGGTGGAAAAAACCAGATGGGGCAGAGGGCAGTTTAAGCCAGCCTTGCCTCTGCAGCTCACATACTGCACAGGTCTGCCTCAGACTCTGGTGGGTGAAGATAGGCTTTTAGTTCCCTAAAACCACTAAGTTTCAAAAATAAGCTTAAGTTAAGCATCTGGTTTCATGCTCTGCTGGACCTTTAATGGCTTACGGTGAGTAAATATAATCCTGCAAGGGCTTGGATCATCAAGAAGAAAATAGCAGGAATACTGTGTAACAGGGCATACAGGTGTATTCACACTTTATAGATCAATTTTCTGTTATGTTCTCTATTTTAAATGGTCTTGAGGAAAATGGAAAAATGAAATTGAATGCTAATAAAACTGGCTTAGGTAATTCTTATGCACCAGTTTTACACCACTGAAATAAAACACTGACAGTAAGCACAAGATCTTTTACAGTATTTCAAACTCACATGGAATACAGATTATTACAAATGCTGTATTACGTACTTCATAATTAAATATAATTTATCCAATGAAATAGAAAATAATTTGTTGGAAGATACAGCCCTTGAGCACAGGGCAATTGCTTACATGTTTGTAATTTAAACTCTTAATTGACTAACTACTAAAGCACACATTAGAGGAATAATGCCTTTCACATTAGGGTGAGTTAATATGTAAAAAGTGTTAATAATCTGTGACCTAGGTATGGAAAGATGTATTCATATTCTTCACTGTTTGAAAGTACATGTGTGGTATTTGCTCTCAGCCTTTATGTGACGATACAGATGGAAAAATAACCCAAAGCCCCAGCACTTAAGACACAGATCAGCAGGGGGTATTTCAGTTTAGGACTTGGCAGACCTGCCTCCAGTTCCCTCTCTGACACAGACCTTCTCCAGAACACAGAGTGAGTCTCACAGGCCTGCTGCACAAAGGTGTTCAGGTGTCACTCAGAGTTAAGTACTTAAAAATATCTGAGGTGCTGATTTCAAAATTTCAAAGTTCAATTTTGTTTCTCCTCCTTATACTGCTCCTTTGTATTTTACTTGCATAAGATCTGTGACAGATGCTGTGCCCTTTCATGTTTACCCATCCTGAAGTTCATTGTAGTAGCTATTAAAACCAAGTTCTACTTGTAATGTAAATACCAGCTCCTATGTCTGCTCATGTATCCTTTTTGTGCAAATAGATTTAAAAAAAAAAAAATTCACACTGAAACAAAGTATTGAATATTACGTTGTTCTGTTGTGCAAGCTCTACTTTCCAGAGGTTTTTTTTTTAGGCAAAGGTATGTTAATGATCAAACTATGACGCAAATTAGAACTGAAGAGATATCAAGCAGTTAGTTTCTACTTCTTGCATTTATTGTTCAGTGTTTCACAAGATGAGGTGAGTGGAGCTAACCCCTCACTGCAGCTGGAAGAGGGTGGTCCTGCCTTGGTCTTTTCATCCCAGTATGTTGCCCCTTACTGTCAGACAGTTACCGCTTACTCTTCACGGGATCTGGTGCTCCATGCAGCTTTCTGTAACCCAGTACAAGTCTTTAGCCAACAAGTTAGTTGGAAAGCTAACCTTGCACAGAAAATCAGCTGGGCCATCAAGCCCTGCTGCCTCGTGTGGAATTTCTCACAGGCCACCGGTGCAGCCTGACACTATCCAAAAGCAATCCTGGTACTCAATTGACTGGCAGCTCTTTATTGTCTTACTCCGCTCTTCAGAAACCAGGATTGAGGACTGTCTGCTTCAAGGATTTGTCTCAATTTTCTCCACTGGCAGTCTGCCATCAACTCAACTACATAAGGGTGAAAATGTTCACCCAGTCTATTTTCAAAGAGGAGCATCAGATACTAAAAATAATTGCACTGAATGTCTGAGATAGACTTGCAACACAGCAGATGCAATGGCACTGACTAAATGAAGAGAACAAGAACCAACCATTATTACTGCCAGTTCTTTGCTGGCTACATAATCTCCTTAAAATACATTACCAAATGTATTAACCACTACACTGTCGGACAAAAATAATTTTATTCAGTATTTTTCCCTATGTCCTTCAGCACAGTGTGTTTTGCTTTGTTTTCAGAAGGAGAGATGAGTTTTAAGAGAGTTAAGTGCTATTTTTGTGCTACGTATCCCTCAAGGCCTGATCAGCAGGGCTGTGTATCTCATATTGTTAGGCTTAGCGTAACTTCACATTTACCTCTGCAGTTCACCTTAAGAAGTTGATTCTATTTCCACTGTTCTTTCAAATTATCCCTCCAAATTCTTCATTGTAAGTAAAGCTGTTTAGTTGAATTTTTGCAACATTATGTTTATTAAATAAAGCAAAAGAAACAATATATGCGTATGGCATCAGGAGAGACTCGATAACAACAGCAGTGATTAGTTTTAAATGTTACAGAGAAGTAATTTCTAAACTGCTGTAAACTCTTTTCAAATACTAAACAGCTTTTAAATGGCAGATCTTTTTGACCTGTCCAAGTACATAAACATTGAATGCTTTCTCTGAAAGGAAAAACAGGAATAGAGAATATCAAGATTATTACAATTCTCTAGTGCTATTTAGAAAACATTTAGGAGAATGCATAGTCGCTAATACTATAAGCATTACCATCATCATGTAAACATACCCACTCTGCTGCGGCCAGTTCCTTCATTTCCATTGTGAAAGCCACTGAAAACCTAGTTAAAGGGACAAAAATAGTTGGGATCATCTGCTTTAAACATAAAAACAGAAAAGTACTTCAGAAAAAAATCTTGATAAGAACAAAGAGCAGAGGCTTATAAAAATGATTATAGATGGAAAGACAGAAAGCAGGCTTTCTATTTGTTTTAGCAGAAAATACTGGTAAAACAAATGGTATATCTTCAGGCTTTACAACTTAGAGCTCTTGGGGAGTTAAACTGAGGATTTCTTAAAGTAAGAGAAAACCAAAATAATGGGAACATCCCCCAGGTTAATGACATTAATATATACAGCCATAATAGTGAGTTAGCATTTCTTGTTTTAAACCTTTCCCCAATGTTCTCTCCTTATTTCTAAGTAGTCAAAGATGTCAATGAGAAACAAACATCAGAGAGACCAAAATGTTATTCTTCAGGAAAAATACCAGAATTAAATAAACTTAAAAAGAAGAAAGATGATCCAGTGACTGGGCTTCAACTCTGGAATCTCACAGACTTGGGACACTCAACTCTGTAGCTCTGAATGTTAGGCATCTGCAGTGGAGAGGAAATGTGCAGTGCCTGACATTCCTTTACAATAAATAGGGAAGAATTTGGTGCCCAGAAACAAGATTTACCACAGCCATTGTTTCCTGCAAAGAGACTGTTACACTAGCCAGACGTAATACTGATAGAAGAGCATTTTGACTGCTCTTTGGTTAAAACTTTTCTTTGTTATGAGAAGGGCATTTAAATGAATGAACTGTAGAATAGTATATGAATACCATCTACTCCTCCTCTGTAATGTATATAAACCATAACGCCAAAGTAAGAACAAGCAATCAAAAGTGTCTTTGAGTAACATAATGGCTAAGGTTTTCACTGGGGAGAGAGAAAGAATTCTACTCCCAAGCTTACTTCCACTTTTCCCCTTGTGGCTGTTTATAATGGGTCATCTGAACTTCTACTTATGTGCCTTTGGAAATGTCTGTAATTCACTAACATTCCGCATAACATTTGAGTTACGTCAGAGATCATCTAAAAGGAGCATTGATATGAACAGTTTTCATTTTTAGGCATCTCATTACACAGAGACTTCAGCCACAGAAGTCTGATTTCTAAACATAGTAGATACACAAGTTATTCTTACTGGGAGCTTGGTGTAATACCAAGTCATATGAGATATTTTTATGGAGTCAGAGTTAATAAAGAATCCCTGTTCAGAATAGATCTAAAGAACATGCTGGGATCTAATGTAGCTTTTAAGTTGTGATGAAATATAAACAGATGCTTTGACTGTTCTTAAATGGAACTTTAGTGTCAACTGGAAGTAAAAATGGGACTATTTCTGAAGACTATCAGTCCTATGGAATAGAAATGTTTGAACACCTCCTTCTTATGAGACAATCTGTCTGCTCAGCAAAACTTTTTAAAAATTGCTTTTATAGATATTGAATGTAAAACAGAGGTTATCATGTATTACATTTATGATTCGGTGTTTCTTTTTCACAGAATTAGGTAATGTTTCTGTCCTGAGACAACCCTACGACATCTCAATGGTTAGAGGTGAAGCACGTTGCCAAGTCACAACCAGAACAATACTCTTCCATTGGAGACATTATGTTATAATTTGAGGACATGAAATCATAATCATTCATTAGAACTCACATAAATGCTGAATTATAACTGTTTTTATTTGTTGAAACAAACCTTATTCCCATACGTTTGTTTTGCAGTACCTGGTTTATGGTACTACAATGAATTTCATGTATAGAACTCGACAGATTTAAGGTTATTAAAGCCTTGCAAATGCTTGTTTTGTTAAGTCGCACATGCTCCCTTTCCAGTTTTTGCAATTATACTTTCAATACATCACATTAACAAGCAGAGAAAACTGTTGCTCCTAAGTCTACAAAATACTGTTCCATAGAAAAAAATACCCCAGAGGAGCACAACCACCATTTAGAGGAATTTGATTAAAAATGAAACACTCATTATAAAGCCAGACAGTGTTCAATACTTTGTTTTATGGAATGTGGTGGTATATTGTACTGCACAAGTAATCTACAATTCATGATACTTTCTGCTTAGAACCCTGCAATCAATAAAGAAAAAAAAAAATCAATGTTTCTTTTAATAACCGTGCAATGAATAATCCTAGTGATAATATTGGAGAAGAGATCCATTCAGAATAACTTCTAGAAAACTGAATTACTTTTCCTGTAGCAGAGAAAATATTATGAACTGCATAAGGATGCAGTAATATATTTTGAAACATCCTAGGAAATCCAAGCTACTAAACTATACTTCAAGTTCCTAACTTAATTATCATTAAAAAAAACATTCAGTAAAGCAGGTTTTGCACAAGCTATTTTAGCTATATTTGTGACAGATGATATTTTAAACACAGAACTGGATCAAACGGACACACTCAGAGATTTTCTTTTCATACACTTTTCATTTTGCACAGTGCTGAAATTTAACTGATACATTAGATATATTTTTTCTCTTCCTACCTCTTTAAAGAATAACTTCTGATTATTTGATAACAAAAGTAAATAAGTATATAAATTTTGTCTCTAATGGAGTCTTAAGTTGCTTTTCAACTCCAAGTCACATTAAGAAGTTAGAACATGCCCTAATGATTTTTCAATGAGCATGATTAAGTGCTGTCTTTAAAATCTGTTTACCTACCACATTTTATAGGGCACTATAGACAGAACAGCACATCTATGCCAGCATTAAGTTAGCTAATAATAGCTAGAACATAAAACTACGAGATACGAGCCTGCTGCAAATTCTGTACCCATTTCCTCATTGCTAATATGAACCAAAATCCATACTGCCGTATCTGAGCCCCTGTAGTTATCCGTCTGAGCCAGAATGCTGCGATGAATGAGCAGCAGGCTCTCTTCAGCAAGGTATTTAAGCTCTCCCTGGGTAAGTATGCAAATACCACCATTGGATTTGATAAGACGTTCCAGATGCTTAAATTTTATCCTACCTTATATGCTCAGGGACCCCTTTGCTTATGCAGAGCTCAGTTCTGGAGTGATGACTCTTCAGAGTATTCAAGTCACCAGGAGCTCCGGCACAGTATAGTTCTGCGAGGCTCAGTGACCTGCTGTAGCAAATTACTGACACCTAAAAGACATCCTTCTTGTATCCTTCCACAAACTGACTCTTCTTATTAAAGGGGTAGAATACTAACCCAGAAAAAAAATTAAAAAAAAAAAAAAATCCCAACCCTGGCACAAGGACAGGTGGATCACACAGCCCCAAGCAAGAGAAAGGAGGAGAGCAAGAGAGGCAGCAGTAGGGCCATCCCTGCCATCAGTGAGCTATTACACTGGCTATGCATGAAGGGAAACCTTAGCCTGTATCTTGATAAGACTTAAGCAATCTATTAAATTAATTTCATCCACTGGAAGATTTACATACAGAAAATGCTTTAGTTTCCTATAAGAGAAGGGCTTATTGGCCCACCATGGATGTGATCAAACACTGTTGAAGTCAATAGACCTTTGGATCAAGCAGAAGGAAACTTATTTTCTGGGGATGCGGAAACAATGAGAAATGCTGGAAAAACCTTTTTGGTTTTCAGCCATTTTCTCCGATTTCTAATCAGTTCTTGAACTACATTTGATGACTGCACTGCCATGTCACTAGAATTTTTCCAGACTTTAAAACACCCTGAAAATACTCCCTTGTCAACTCATCTAAATAATTGAATTTGCTTACAGACTTTTTCAGTCTCTGCTTCTTTGCTCACCTATCTAGAGAAAGGATCATATTAGCAGGAAGAAAAAGAACAAAAGCTCTTTATACTTGAGTCATCTGCTTTTCAATGAAGCACTCTGTCAACAAGCTAAATGAGAGGCCTCCAAGAACAGGTTTGATTCCATGATACAACAGGACAAATGCCAGTTATTTTTAGTTCTTGTCTCACTTATGTCAAACTGCTGGGCACCTTGGTCTGTGTGTGCAGATAGCACTTAATGCATAAAATATTTTAGCTCCAATACAGAATATTTCATATATTTGAATATATGTAACATAAACCAGAATTTACTAAGAAACAGAGGTTTTAAAAAAAAAAAAAACAACTTTGAGCAACATTTAGCATGTTTGGCACAGAGCCTTAGCAAACGCGGTCCAACCTTGTTTAGGCAAATACTACTACTACAATAAGATCACTAACTCACCGTTAACCATCTGCACTAGTAAAGATTCATTATTTAAATACCAAATGTCAGTCATTTCATGGCCAGGATAGGTCTGCACAAATTAGAACTGTATGGATATTGTTGGAGATACTTAGATATGCATTTCTTTACCTAAATCCCTGCAAATATAAGCAGTGTAAAATACCTTTTGGTAAGAAATTAAAACTTGACTGCATAAAATTGTATCCATTACAAACATGTTAAATAAACCACAGTGACGTTGCTCCAGTCCACAGTTATACTAACCATCAAAGGCTGTCTTTATAATGTCTACCCGCAAAGCAGATTCTTTTACGGAGCAATATGCTGCCAAATCCCAGGTTAAGTATTCTTGCTATTATTATTCCCGTTTCTTTTACCTGCCTTAGAATTTTATACCCTCATCCCATGCACAGTTCTATTATTCTAGAAAACAGTTATGATTCAGTAGACAAAGCACAGGATTAGTTAGCAAGTGCACAGATTTCATTAGCTTTTAATGGGATTTGAGTCTTTTTGAAAATTCACAGCCCAAGATACCAAGTTTCAGCACTACCTCTGCCAGCTCTTACACAGACAAATGTGATGAAACAATTGTAACAGAGGAAATATAAAATTAATGGACTGCACACAGATTATATTTTATGAAGAAACTGTTCTACTTCCTTCACTGAACCATAAAATAATATGTAGAGATCACAGAGATCTCAAGTAATCTACCCTTTGTCCACTAGCCTTCACATCTCCCAGTGATTCCAAGCATTTACGGCACAGTTCCTAAAAGATGTGCCATTACAAAAATGCAATTTCCTGTCATAAACCTTCCACACACGCTTTTACCTGGCTTCTTCTAGCACTGCTCCCATTACCCGACGCTTCTCTTCACATTTGATATCTTCATTTACATCTGTCCCACCAAAGATGATTCCAAAAGGAATTCTGCTACCTGCAAGGCAATGACTACGATGAGAAGTTGACCAACATGTCAAAGTAATGACTAGAATGGACATTAAGAGTGAAAAATTATCGTGATAATACTGTATCACATATGTTTAAAAAAAAGCCTTTGCAAAATACACCTGGAGAAATGGATTTTTACGGTTTTGGCACTGAAAAAATCTATACAATAATTATGCACTTTTACAGTACATTAGTCTGTTGTGTAGCTACGAGATTTGCTTTGCCTTTTCCATGCTTAGTAAAAACAATCAATTAGTTTCTAAACTTGGCAGCCCACCAAACAGCATATATTTTAAATGTTACTCACACATTTTAATAAGATGCAGTATTGGAAGGTTTGGTCCCAGGTATCTAGCCCCAGCCACTCAATTCACTGCCCACTCAAGCATTCCAATACAGTGGTTTGGGTGACCATACCGCAAAGCTGGTTACTGAAATTATTTTTTTTTAACTATTGACTTCCAAAGCTAATTTTACTGCTATAAAAATGTAGATAGAGCCACACCATTGGAAAAGGTCACTTTATTAAATATGGCAGTATATGTGAACCTGCAACAAAACCATTGTTTTGCCTAATTCTATCCCGAAAGATGGATCTGATTAAATGTTACAAGAATCAGGAATGTCCCCTGCACCACTTTTTCCCTTCAAGAAGTCTACAATAACTTTGACACTTCAACTAGGATCATCCCAGCAATCATACTACTTACTGTCTTGCTTTTCACAGATTTCTGTTTTATTTTTCTTTCAGTTATTGTAGATGATTTTTGGAACAGTGTGACTCTGACTTATTTAAATTACTGAGCTTCTGTAAATCATTCAAGTATAAGGCTGTGTAGGTCACTTGGGATTTTGAAAAGCTAATAGCAACAGCATTCAGCAATGCTATCCAAGTCAAAACTACAATAAAGTTTTACCGTAAACATTTAAAATACAAAGTTATTTTTTGTTCCTTACAAAAAAGAAAAAAAAAGTAGATAGTTCTGAAACCTTCCATAAGCCTCCTCCAAAACAATTCTAGGTCTTGTCACAAAAGCAATCATCTCTATATTCCAACAAGAGAAGTCTTAATACATATGTCAGCAGAGATCATCTTACAGAATTATTTCTTTTATTGGTATTCTAGGATCCCTACTGAAATCAGAGCTCCATTGTAACAAAAGATACACAAGCATGCCAGACGTAATAAGTTAGGCTTTCTGAAAACCCACCAGTGCAAATTGTGGGGGGACTTCTGAAGACTGAAAACTAGCACAATACAACTTATACTGAGATCTGATGAAACTATCAAATTACATACCTTTGTCCAAGTGAATAGATTTGTACAATATGAATGTGCTCTCAAAAATGGATACACACTTGCAATTTCAGTAGGTGACAGTCTCTGTAATTTTGCAAGCCAGTGCTTCTAGTGTATCATTAATGGTAGGCTAAAATTTTGTTCTACATGGCTAGATACAATAGAAAATTTTATTATTTGTCTGATAACATCCTGTCTCCTACAGTTTAGCTGGCATGAATGACATCTCAAAGTTACTTCATGTCCAAAAAACCTGACTCATTTTTGAGCAGAAAAACCAAATTAGCCTTTCTGCTTTCTTCTGTTTGATCTCAGCTATACTTAGCCAAGCCATTGTTCTCTGAAAGAATATATTTGCTGAAAGTATCTTAATGTTAATTATGAAATGCACTGTGTGATTTAAAAGTACATTTACTTAGTTCTCTCCTCTCTGGATCAGATCTCCCATAGAGGAAGATTTTCAGCATTTCTGAACATTTGCTGAAGTCGATAAACAGAATAATAACATTACATGTAGGTTTATACATTTATAGCCGTGTATAACCATTTGTATTCATTCTCTTCTCTTTCATTACCTTTTTAAGAGGCATTTTTATTGCAAAATAGAAAGAGGATTACCTTGCAGAAGCCTGCCTCCTTTGTAAAGATGAATGGCCAGGGCGGCATCAAACTTGTCTGTGGAGGTCAGATCTGCTATTTCAGTTGGACTCTCATACATGAAAGCATCCTTAAGAACGCAGATGTGACCTGAAGCATGTAGATGATCCCTTCATTATCAGAACAAATAGAAAAAGAAAAAGACGCCATTAATGTTGCAGGCATGCCAGTATTAAATAAGCTTAATCAAAATGTTTTTCCTTAATTAATAGCAGCCATGACGCTATTTACAAGGGGATTATTTTGCTGGAAAATATTTATTACCTTCACGATTGTGAAGCCACAGTCCCACTTCCAAGCAACATTATCTATATCCATGTTAAGGCCCAAGCCTACAAAGTATCAACACCACCTTTGGCAATCAGTGGAAGTGAAGTATAACCAGGATCTTCCCTAATTGAACTTCAGCTCAACATGCTGAAAAGACTCCTTTTGAATTGAGCGTGTTAGACCTTGGTCTCAGAGATTCTCAGATCTTTGTTGTGAAGAAAGGCCACCAACTGAAGAAAACACAAACATGTCCAGCTAATCAATGCTATTAAAAATTCAGAACATGCAAAAAAATGTTTGCATGGGCAAAAAAAATAATACATAAATAAAACTGGAGTTTTCTGTTTTATTCTGGGTTTTCTTGCTTCTTGTCTTAGTTTACCCATTTGTAAAAAAGGCGCAGGATAATTGAAGTATAAGAAAAAAATTACACAAAAGTAATTACACAAATACTTTCAAAGTCTTTTTTTTTTTAAATCTCAATTGCTAAAAAGAAAAAAAAAATCCAACAACAAAACTCCCCTGTTCTAGTGTCAGCTTTATATACAATGGTTCCTCATATTAAAACCTTGATTAAAAGACTGACAAAGTCAAGAAACTGATTGACTACAGAGGGAGCTAGCCTTACTTAAAGCATTTTGGTGAGCTTTGTTTTAGTCTTGTCTTTTATACTCTAGGCTCATAAGTCCTCCCACCAAAACCAGAACCAGATATCAATGTTTCCAGTGACATCAGCCAATAAACATACAGGAGAAAACCCATGTTTTGATAGCAACTAGCTTATATCTTATGTATCTTATATCTGCTTATATGTAGTGTTTACATTTTCAATATTATAAAAAGACCACAAGATTGTTTTCCACTCATTACATATTGTTCCAGTTGATTTATTTCTCATCGCGTATTAATTGTTCTGGCATTAAAATCCTGCTAACTCAATAGCTTCTTGGCTAATGTCAGCTCTTTCCTTTCCTGATCATTTCATATCCTCCCAAGGAATGTAATTTTCTGTCCTGCAGAAGTTAGTCATTACTGCAGAAATTGGTGCTAAAAATGTTGTAAAATGTCTTGAGGCCTTGGAAGGAATGTATTAGCACTTTATCAGACAGAGCTCCACTGGCACAACATATGGTGCTGTATTTCTTCCTTATTCTAAAAAGAAACTCATTTTACTTTTAACTTCACTGTTTGAAACAAGACCAATAAATTACAGTAAGTATTAATAAATAATAAAATACAGCCAGATCGTAAGCTCCTTATTTACACTGTTGAGCAATTATTTATACCAGTTGTCCCATGAACTTGTACCAAGTACCTGCTTGCCTTTTGGAAGAGGCTCTCAATTTACAGCTAAATAATGATGCCCAAATCTCACAGCTGTGGAAAGAAAAATCTCTTGGGCAAATACTCGAGATGCTCGTGCATGCATTCCATAATTTCACAGGTGCTCATTAAATAGTCTAAAAGATTTTTTTTCCCATCAGAATTCCAATTACCATAAATCACTATCATGTACAAGCAATGTGTTTGCATATTACAGTTAATTTGAAAATAACTCTCTCAGGACACCAGGAATCAAGAAACTCAGCTAGGAATTCCAATCTAAAGTGTCTTTTAAAAACATATATATATACTACGAATGAATATTTTTCCCTTCCTCCACAGTTTCCACAGCTCCAAAGCTCACAGCTGAGTGACAGCTGTTTCTGCGGAAAATAGAGGGGGACTCCCTCAAGTGTTCCAAAGGCTCATAAATTGTGGATTACCTCTATTATTTCTTTTTTTAATACATATAATGTCTTGGGAGCATGTGAAAAATTTACATACAGTTTAAGAAGGACAAATTATCAAATTATTCCCAGAATAATTTGAATTCCCAGATGTAAAGAGGCCTTAATCCCATAAACATACCACTGACTTCAACATGATTAGTCACAGGCTTCAGATATGCACATATGGAAATAAATGTGCGTAGACGCAAAATTACTGGGTAGTATTTAAGTACTGAAATTTACAGTGATATTTTCATATTTTCTAAATGACGTTTCATCTTCATAACAAAAAAAAAAAAAAGCAGACTATGATTTTCACACATATGCTGTTATCAAGGAACATGGTAAGAGGGTGCTGCAAAGCTATCACAGGAGATTTTTCTTTTGAAGGCTGATCTGTCTGTGAAGTCACAGATGTCCCTGGATCAAGCCAAGACAGAAGAGATACATTATCCATCCTCCTGGCAACTGTGTGTTCACATTACTTTGCTGTTTCATAAACAAGTGCTTTCTGAATGAAAAATAAAAATGAACACATCTGCTGTCTGTGCATCTAAGACACACTGAAACCGCTGAACCTCAAGGCTACATTTTCTCTCTATCACAGTCCTGTATGTGGTAGATAAATCTCCAAGTAAGTGTCTTAACAACCACTGATTATTGTTTGGCTTCAGAATTCGCCTTGCTCTGTCATGTGTTTTCCTTCTACCAAAACTCTCATGGAAGCCAATGCCTCTACTTGGGGGGAATAATATTTCTAAAACAGAGTTTGGCTGTCAGATTCCAGATTTTGGGTGTTTTGCTAGGAAGTAACCAAACAGGAAAAACTTCAGTCATTCAGTAAGTTTGAAAGATAATTTCTTAGAGTACATTGTATGTGTCACTGCTTACACTGTGATATTTATACACATCTGAATATCGGACAAAATATTTCACAACTCCACTGACTTTAGTATTCAGGGAATTCCTTTTTTTGTTATATTTTTTACACTCTGGAAATCATGAACCTTATAAATGAAACTTATAAGTGTCTGCTCTGAATCTCTACTGTGTGCAGATGGATACACTCCTTTTCTGACACATTTGCCCTTTAATAAAGATTCCTATAGAAAAACGTTTTTCTCTAACACAACTATGAACTATCAGGTGATGTTTTACAATGTTCCATTTTTTTATTTCCTACATTATTAATCACTAGTTCTCACTTATCCTGGCTAGCAGTCTTCCTTCCTTCAGGCTGAATCTGCAGAAACAGTTTTATAGTTCCAAACACAGCACAGCTGAAGCTAAGACACGAGCAAGTTAAAAGTATGCTTTCTTGTAAAGTGCTATAGTTTTGAAACTTGCTTTATTTTCTGTGATGTCTTCCTCTCAAAAACATTTATGTTCTAATTTTGTACCAGTATTTCAATGGAATTACTTGCAGAGAAAGAATGTTTAATTTCCAAAAAATTCCTGATGGGCAGATACACTGACACTTCTTAAACGGCACAAAATAGGCTTCATCCAAAAATACAAATTATCTCTTTCTCTAGGCTGTCTATTCTGTAAAGCACCTATGCATCACCTAGGGTTAAATCTATGCAGCACGATTCAAAGATTATTCAGTGAGTGGAGTCACTACCACTGCCTTTTCTGAGACTTGGCCAGAGCAGAATATTTGCAATTCCCACTGACACTGATGGAATTAAAAGAGCTGAAACTCTGCTTGATCTTCTCCATTTTCTTTGTAAATTATCTTATTTTTTTTCCTATTTGTTAAAACAAAGTATTGCTAATTTTATTTCTCTCTCAAACTTCTCATTTAAACACAGACAAATTGTGTTGGCTTGAATGAAGTATGAATAAAATCCACTGTGCGTAAGAACAGAAATTAAAAATGTGAGGGGAAATGGGGAGAGAATCCTCCTGTCTCTATGTCCTGAAGTCAGTAACTGTCCTTTGGAAGGAACAAATAACTCTGCAAAGTTTAATCTTGCCTTATAAATAGCTGTGGAAAACGTTTTGGTATGCAGCACACATTAAGTGCAGACCATGTAAATGATTGCATCTCAGCTCCAAAGGTGGAGGATGAGCACCTGCCTTGCAGCTGTCCTGCTCTGGGAATGGCCATGTGAGGAACAGCAGGAATTTACCCACACCAGTGCAAACCGACCTAGGGAGGTAAAAGACCTCTGATGATCTGCCATGAAGAGAAAAGGATCTCCTGCAGTACAAGTGCTCTTCTGTGCAATTTTCACGGAAGCAGACAGGCTGAGACTAAATAGAAGAAAAGCTGGGGCTCAGATTTACTCCGGTAAATGTCTAAGCTGAAAAATAATGGTAAAGAGGAATGATAAAGCATTACTGAATTTGTGGGGTTAATTCTCTTGCAGTTGATTACCTGGAGATTTACAGAATGGCTATCTCAACCGTCCTATTTCAAATGAGAACTGAAACAATCTCTACCACTCCAAAAGATATTTACATATTGACAAAATACTTCATCTAAATCTTTCTAATTAAACAATTAATTCAAGATTTCTATTTCTCCTTACTGCCAAATAATAAAAGACAAATGGAACATTTCAACTGGCAGAGAAGATCCATTTATTTTCTTTCCTAACACTCTCTTTGATCTCATTTCTGAGGCTGAAGAATGGCAGCCTAACCAAAGACTTTTGCTTAGAGTTTTATTCTCTACTCATTGCTCATATTTTTTAAGGTGATTAAAGATTATGCATACCAATACGGATAAAGCCCACAGCACATTCATTATATCACTTACTCTAGCAAGCTGATTTCTAGCCAAATTAGATTCTGGTATCTTTGTCACCAGTTACTTTAAACTCAGGAAATGAACATCTTATTTATGAAAAGAAGAAGCAGTTATAGAACAGCTGTAACATCATAAACATGGTACACCCAGTGATATTAAGCCATAAAATTAATCTATGCTGGCAAGTGTCCAACCTGGAGACAACTTCATTGTTTCATTTATACTTAACCAAAACTTGACATGGTTCAATATAAAAAAAAAAATTAAAAAATAATTTCATAAGCACGTACACAGATACAACTGAAGCCAA